AACAGAAAGAAAGAAAGATAGAACGAGAGAGAGAACGAAAGAACGAAAGCAAGAACGAACCAAAGAAATAACGAAATAAATCAAACCAGAAAGAAAGCAAGAAAGAAAGGAAGGGAGTATGAGATGAACAAAGAAAGAACAACAGAAAGAAAGAAAAGAAATGAACGAGCGAAAGAAAGAAAGAAGTCCAGAATAAAAAAGCAAAGTTGGAAAAGACGAATGAAAGAATATGAAAGAATCACAGAAAGAAAGATACAAGCAACAGGATACTACATAGTCCAATCGAATTTATCATAATATCGTAATGTACCGTAACATAATATAACATAATGTAACCTAATGTTATAAAATATACTACATATTATGTTGTAAATATACACACTGTATTGTACTATGTTACAATGTACTACACTATAAACTAAGATGTTGTTTTGTTCTATGTCATCTTCTGTTATATTGTATTGTTGTATTTTTAGTATGCTATTATATGCTATAAGAAGCAAGGTTCTGTTATGTCAGAAAATGTCACACCATTTTTGTGTTGTCGAACCATCTTATGTCGTTCTTCTGGTTTACTATGTTATATATATATAGGTTAGAATGCTAACGGAAGAAGAGACACGAACAGGCACGGAAGAACAAAACACCCGCCGCCGCGCTTTTCGAGACGTGCAAGCTTGATTCAAAGAGTGTTTTCGAAGCCCATCATGTGAACGTTGTCTCTGCAAATGGGGGGGGCTGCGCCCCCCCCAACCCCCCCGCTGTTTTAAGCCGTGCAGGGTTGCTTTGAAGCATATGCCTTTTTTTGAAACCCAGCAAATGAGGGCGTCTCCGCCCTTGTAGATACATGCTGAACCAGAATCGCCAAATGAGGGGCGTGTTTAAGATAGATGATGAAGCGGAATACCAGCAACAGCTACAACAGGAAATCCGTCCTAAATGTGAAATTCTAAGGAAAATTTGATTTTCCCGAGGAACAACCATATGTTGTCCTTCTGAAAACCTGAAGAAATGACACGAACGCCATAGGTAATAGGAAATAAGCTTTTACCTACGAAAAATCAAGGAAAACTTAGGGAAATACCACGGAATCCGCAGGAATATCGTGTTTTCCAAAGGAAAAACCAAACAGATCCTAAGGAAACAAAAGAAAATCCCTAGGAAAACAGTGTTTTCCCGTCGAAAAATTCAGGAATTGCTGTATTTTAAGTGATTTAATTTTTTTTGATCCTTATTTTAATTTTTTTTTGATGCCTCTGCCCCAGGAAGTGCTGTATTTTGAGTGATTTAATTTTTTTTGATCCTTATTTTAATTCTTTTTTGATCTTTCCATTTAATTTTTTTTTGATCCTTATTTAATTTTTTTTTGATCCCTCACCCCCCTTCGTTTGCGCCTCAGAGAGTTTGAAGGCTTTTCTCTGTGCGCACTTGGAGCGAAATGTCGTGCTCCTGCCGAGGTGTGACGAAGTTTGGAATGAAGAAGGTCCAGGCTCGGTGGCCTAGCACTGGCATTCCCCGTCCGACCCGCAGCATCGCATTGATCTAGCCTCGGCGAGATTCTCGCGCCGACCTGTACACTTCTCAATGTTCTCAAACTCACAAGACAAGGGGACGAGAGCCTTCCCTTTCCAAGCCCGCCTTTTCTCCGTCTTCCGAAGATCCCGTGTTCCTTTCACCTCCTCGGAGAGCCTGGGGCCTCTAGGTCTTAACAAACCTTATAACAGGGTTCAGGTGTTAAACGAAGGAACATCCAGAAAGAACCCGAAACCCCGTCGTTTGCCTTTGTGGAGTCACGGCTGCCCAAGGCAACCAACATCATGATCCCCCGGAGGGATGGTAAGCAGTCTACTGCAATGTGGGAGTTTCCGAAAATTAAGTGTACCTCGTTTGCGGGTCCTTATAAGAAGGATCCTACTAAGGTGGGATCTGCTGTTTCCGCGTTTCGCATGGGTTCAAAAGCTACGTCTTGCCACCTCTGTCCTCGCACGGCTGGATTGGACAGCGGCCCGTTAAAAGACGGACGTTCAATTAAGTCAATCCTATTGCCATAATATTTACTATAGATCCCTATTATTACAGTAACATAAAACAAACTCCGTTAATAAGAATCCTGTTTTGCAGAGACGGTGTTTCGTGCTGGGTCTTCGGCAACTTGTCCTGGGCCTTCGCGCCTCTCTTCATCCCTCTTGATCATCCGGTGGCGTTGTCATTAGCTCTGACATGCTTCACGGTTCTGGGCTGCATGGCGTGCTGCGCTGCTGCATCTGAGTGTTTGAATAAGATCCGTCTCGAGTGCCGTCAGCTTTGGCCACTGCTTCGAAAGCAGCAGGCATTCACGCAGGGGTCTTCTATTTCTTGATCTGACGGTCGTCAGTCAGAGTGTGTGTGTGTGTGTGCGTTGGGTTTGTGGAACCCTTGGGTACCCGGGTGAGCCATCGTTGAGGAAAGGCGCTTCAAACACACACATCCGAAAAGGACCTGGGGCTCAAGGGACCTGATTACACACCCTGCAGCTCTTGCATTTTGACTTCAATCAGTACTCTTGCCATAAGAACCCAACTTTTGAGAATTGGGGTTTGAAGTTCACGCCCACATGGCTTTCGTCTACGAAGGTTGGGCTGCATTGGTGAACTTTGCAATTTTGCAGCATTGAAAAAGTATCAGGCGCAAACCAAGAAGTTGTGGAAAACCGAATCCTTGGCGCTACATTCGTCTGCGGTATGTGCGAGGGCAGGCTGCAAGACGGCAGCAACGTCCACAAGCTACCGCCGAAGATGTCAGGTTTGAGATGGTCAACTTTGAAGTTTTCAGCGGAAGCCTTGAAAATTGGTAGATCCGTGTTTCTGTCAGGACAGTCCTCGAGGTTGGCTGTGGGCCACGCTGCCTGAGGCGCACCGGTCCACACAAGTTACGGCTTCGTGTCTGGCTGTCCATGGGTACTCCATGAGCATCAAGGTGAGGTCTCAGCCTGGAGAAGCCCTCCTTCGCAGATAGTCTTGGCCTCAGACCGGCTAGACAAGGGTGATTGCGCAGCACGGATTCTCTGGCTGCTTTTCCGGAGCAGGTTTTGGGGTGTATCGTGGCTTGCGAATGCAGCATCAAGCTCGGAAGTCGCAGTGCGCCAGATGCCGAGCTTGCCCTATGCTTGTAAAAACTTATGCAACTTTCGCCCGCTGTTGTGAAGCTGTGGAGCTGGCAGATGCCCGTCTTCAAGCAGCACTGTGAGGACCCGGCTGTCAGGCTCCTGATGTGGGTTGATGGTCCAAGATCTGCGGCGAATCGTTATTGCCGCGCCACTAAGGCCATTGTCGGAATGAAGCATGCTACGATACCGAGGATGTGGATATCCAGGACGAGAGACAAAGTGAAACCTGAAGATGCCCCAGCGACACCTCGTATCAGCCTGTTTCTCAAATCTCAGGAGCCCCCCAGGAGTCGCCGGAGATGCCGGAGACCAGGCAGTCATGAGGCCTTTGGGGCGTTTTCGGCCCGCTGTCGTGAAAGCTTTGCAGGTCGGAGTCGAGTCCCGCTCCTGGTGAGCGCTGGGTCCGCGGTGGCGGTTGGACCGTGAGGAGCAGGACGTCGAAGGTATCCTGGAGGCCAGCCACTGTTGCCGATTCGCCAAGAAGTCTCATCCGGCTCTCATCGCTCTGCGCCGTTCTGCGGCTCTGCCTCCAGGCCCTCCGCGCTGAAGACAAGCTGTCCGCGAACTCTGACCCTTGCCGAACTCGTGGGCTTTCGCAAGTTCTGTGCCAACGACGAAGGTGGTGCATCAGAAGATGTCGGATTGTGGGAGCCAGGTCGCACGACTAAGACTCTACATGTAGGGTTCTGAATGTTTGACGTACGGTCTTACTGTCGCCTGCAAAGCACTGAAGTCTAAAGCGCTGACTTCTCTGGGCCTCCTCGGGGGTGCTGTGCGGTCCTCCGGGCACAGCGGCAAGCAGCGCTGCGGACACCGCTCGTCTCGCTCGTTCAATGTCGGCCATGCGCAAGACGCCGCAAGTGCAAATTTCCGACATCAACGGTAGGAAGGTCAGTCTCGAGACGGATGCGAAGAAAGATAGCTTGCAGGCGGCGAGAAACGTGGAATCGGTTGTTATCCTGGTTGGTGTGTCCCAGCGCAGCAAAAAACTCCACAGGCCCACAGGCAGGGGTTGACCTCATGTTTGCGTCAGCAGCGTTGGCACCGAGCGAGCGGAGGCCTGTTGCGGTGTGCTTTTGCTTTTGTAGCCCAGGCTTTCCCGCGGGTGCAACAGAAGGGCTCTTGTTTGAAGGAGGGAGCCAGGGGGTGGGGAGGTGATGAAGAAAGGGGGGTGGTGTGTGTGTGTGTGTGTGTGTATGCGCGGGTGTGTGTGTGTGTGTGTGTGGGCATGCACGTGCGTGTGCATTTTTTCGCATTAGTTGCGTCGTTTTGTCCTCGCTGTTTGGGTAACTGCCGCGATGTATTTCAGCTGAGTGGGTTATTTGTGTCTTTGTCTGTGTTAATTTGTCTGCGTCTTTCATTTTTACGTTCTCTGCGTCTGTTATCTCCTTTACATGGTAATACCAGAATCCTGAAGATCGAGCAAGAGCATGGTTTTGAACCAGATTGCTGGAATTTGCACTTACACATTGACCTACATGGTCCTGTCGGAAGTGGATCTGAGCAGGCGCTTCGACCACCCGAATGCTCTTCTGGTGGCTTTTCATCTAGTTTGTAATGTTCCTGGAGATGCCAAGTGTGAGGAGTAATCAATATGAACACCTGTTCTGCGCGCGTATTCTGTGGTACACGACGGCGTAGAAAAGGCTGTAATCTGTAGATGTATTTGCAAAACATCCCTATGGTGTGTGCGAATTGATGCTCGCTCCAGAAGCCGTGCAAGGCTCCCAAAGCAGGCATGTACTCATGTGGAGCCAGAGAGGAAGGTGTACATTGTTGCTGTGTGTTGTTAGCTCTGATGAACTCCGAGATCGAACCATTACCAAGAGATCTGTTCGGCACATCGACACGTAGGATGCCACGACCACCAAGTTGCACCATGGCTGCCATGGTGACCACGCTGGTGCTGTTTTGGGTGACCGTGCCTTGCCGTGCCTTCCAAGCCTTCAGGACCAGGCCATCTGCCGCACCGCCTTGGCTCCTGTTCGAAGCTGTGGTAGACTTGCAGGTTCGAGCTGAAGGAGGCAGTCGATGGATGGCAAATCCTCGGAAGAAGCTCAGCTGCAGGGACGGCGATCGTTTGCTCGAACCTACTCGAGAACAGGTCGGGCGAGCCGTGGGGCGGCAGAGGAAACATGTTTGTGCGAGCGCGTGAACGCCATGACGACGTTGACGACGTTGACGACGACTACTATCATTAGTAATTACTATTATACTGCTACTACTACTACTACTACTACTACTACTACTACTACTACTGCCTAAGCTGGCTTGCGGGCGTTGTTCTGCTCAGCGGGTCCGTGTAGTTCGGGTGGGCGTAAAAGCGTAAAAGCGTAAAAGGTGAAATTCGTTTTTCGCGTTTTACGTTTTTCGGTGGTTCTCGCCAGTGTTTTGGACCAGACAAGCTCCGCGTACAAGCGTAAAAGCGTCAAAGTGTAAAACCGTATTTTTGTTTTTCGTTTTTACGCTTTTACCCTGCCCCGCGTTTGTTTTCGCGGCACGTGATTGTCTGAAAGCGTAAAAGCGCAAAAGCGTAAAAGCGTAAACGGCCGGTTCTCAGCGTACAAGCGTAAAAGCGCAAAAGCGTAAAAGCGTAAAAGGCGCGTTCTCTGCGTAAAAGCGTAAAAGCGTAAAACGTAAATTTTGTTTTTCGCTTTTCGCTGTTTTCGCTTGAATTCTGCACCAAGGGCCGCTGAAACCGTAGTCTACACCCTGTAGCTCCAAGCCTAAACCCGTCCGGCTTACTATGTCACTATGTGGGCTACGGCGTCGCCAAGAATGCCTGGCCAAGGCCCCAACGAGTTAGCTGATGATGAAAAGTATAGAAAACAACTCTGTAGATTATGGTTGTGTAAAGAAGAAAAACCTGAAGCGGAAGAAGAAAAACAGAGAAAACACATTGGGAAAGGCGAACATTGTCATTACACTTTCCGGATATTTTTTGAAAAAGCTCGAGGAATCGAAGTGTCGAGCATGCATAATTTCATGTCTTGCATGGCATGCCTGTAAAGGGATTGTTGCATGTATGGAGATTGGTAAGCTCGCAAGGCAAGATTGCTGTGATTGCATGGCATGCATGCGGTCCTACTGCATGCACGTAAATGCATGCATGCATGCATGATCTCCTGTCTTGCTGTGCTTGCATAGACAAAGATGGCTTGGAAGTTTTCATGTCTTGCCTGCATGGTATGCATGCATTTGCATGCAATGCATCATGTCATGCATGCGGTCATGAACGGTTTCTTGTTTTTGTTCTGCATGCATGCAACTTTCAAGATTGCTTGCAGCGGCATTGTATGCAGCACGGCAGCGGACTATGTTTTTGCACCAGCTCGCATTCAGGTCGGAGTGCATACTCAGAAAACTGCATGCATGGTGGATGCTCTGATCATGTATGGGCCCAGCAGACTCCTTTGACCGCCTCCATGCATTGAAAGCTGGAAATCTGCCAAGCAAGCGAATTATTCGGCATGCCCTTCATGCTTTCACTCCCTTCTCAGCCGCTTGGTCGGGCTCTCACTTGAAGCAGGGCCATTGCTGTCGTCGTCATCATTGGTGGCCAAACAATGTCGAAGCCACTGCCACCACCAGATCCTTAGATTGCAGCTTGCATGCACTTAGAAGCATGGCATGATGAAACAAACTTCAGCCCAGGATCGTGACCCCTGCGATTTCGCTTCGCATCCAACACCACCTCCACTCAAACCTCCTAGGAAGAGGCGATCTGCTGCGGCCCGGGCTTTCATCGCGAGGAGGCATCGCGATCTACAGGGAGTTGCTTCAAGCAAAATGTTGCAGGCATCATGAAATGCTGAACCCTCCAGAAATCAAAGATTGCATGCAAGCATGGATCAAACAAAAATTCTTTGCATGATCCATGCATGCATGCATCTTGGCAAGCACAATCCCATGTTCAAGCATGCATGATCAGCATGAGCTTCATGCATGCTTGAACGAGTCATGCATGCCGGAAACAAGCAAGGGCAAGCATGCACATGCATGATTCTTGCATGTAAGCATGGACAAAGAAAGCATTATTTCTTGTTGATGGGCCTAAAGTCGAAACAGTCATGCATGCAACCTGCAAGCATGAACACATGCAAGGCCAGCATGACACTTGCAAAAGAAACATAAGCACAGCTGCATATTTTCATCATGCATGGCGAGGTCGCAAATAGGCAGGCGGCAACACGGTCAGTGTGCCATCATTGGCTTTGTTGTACACGACACTGCAAAGCAGGTCATCGGCACCGATGATGTAAATCCGGGGGTCACCCGCCTCTTCACGAAACTTGAGCATGTTCATGTCCCACCGCTGCTGAAGGAAAGTGGCGGGGGCAAGCATCACCAGAGCAATATTGTGCAGCTCAATGCAGCAGTGCACTTTGGCACATCTATAAGGGCACTCGTGCCCTGGCTCATTGCCATGCAGCACCCTGTCGCCTTTCTTGATGATAGCACCATGCTTCAGCCTTGTCATGGTGCTTGTCATGCGTTCATCCACCTGCCGCAGGACATTGTACTGCACCAAGCTTTTCTTCAGCTTTGCAGTGCAAGCATGCGGCTGCAGCAAATGTGCCCGCAAATGGAAACCCTCTTCTTTGCCCATGACCGACAAATGCTCTGCAGTCACCTCTTCCAGAAGAGATGTGTCGAAACGAATCGTATTGCTAGAAGCCGACCCATATTTATGGGCGGCTTCCAAGACCCAGCATGCAGGCAGAAATCCTTGTTTCTCGTAGCAACCATCCAAGTGGAGGGTCCAATGAAACTTCGGCCGCATCACTGGACCCCATCCTGCCTGCACCGCTTTTTCCAAGGCTTCCTCGCAAGCAAGGAGCAGTTGTCTGGACCGAAGTGGTGCTTGATTTTGATCGTTCAAGGGTTCGAGCACATGCAACCATGCTAGAAGCGATGCTTTCGCAGGCTGCACTTCTTCTTGCAGGCAGCATGTTGTGAAGTAGTGCTGCAATGGTTTCAACAAACCCCAGAACTTCGGATGCAGTACACTTGAGATGACCTGTTTTTCTGTGGCTCTTGATTTTGTCTGCCGAAGACAAACTGCTCAAGGAGCCTTGTTTGTTGGCACCGGGCAACTGCCACAACTCCAAGTAGCCTGCGAAGGATTCCCACACATCGGCTTTGCCATGGTTTCGCCATGACTCGAATGCCCAACATATAACGAAACTGAGAACTCCGTTACTGTTTAGACAATGCATCCAGTCGTAACAATATTGCGAAGCCGGCTTGATCAATCCCAAAGCTCGTAACTTGGAAGACACGCACAAAGCATGTGGCGAAAATGTCCATCCACTTGCTTGTTGAAGCATTGCAAAGCGAGCCTTGCTTTCAGTTCCTGCCTTTGCTACCAGCCGATCCCAACTCTGCAGCAATTCGCTGTCCGAGGCAAGGTCGCAGGAGGACAGGGTCAGGTGTCTGGAGCTGATCTTCCCCTCGTCGTCATCATCACCTTCACGTCTAACATTGAAAATGTTCTTGCAGAGCATGCAAACACGAGAACCGATGTCCTGGTGGTTTGCAAGTGTTTGCTTCTGGGCACTGCCGTCTTGTAAAAAGACGTGGAGGGTCCAATGGAAAACAAACAATGCATCGGTTGATTTCATGACAATGCCATGCGCCGGGTTCCAGAGCTGCTGTGCGAACATAACTTCCAAAATGAGTCTCAGGATCTGGCCGATACCAGCTTCAACTTTTTGTACTAGTTCAGTTCTCAAGACCGCCAATGTAAACCAGTGTCGCTCCTCGGATAAGCCTTGCTGTTGTAAGTTCAACCAAGAAAAATATATGCACCAAATTTTGCGGCCAGTACTGGAAAGTTGATTGCCGGGATGAGCTTCATCAGCATAAAGAACTCCCTTCCATGGGCAGTCCAAGCTTGAGGGGTCTTGCATGTGCATGTGATTGAAATAATGGTGCCAATACCCTTCCTGCCTGCATAACCCCTGGAGCATTGTTGGTAGGTTGAGGATATGAAAGTGCAAATCCCCACCATCAATTCGCACAGCTGTGGGCTGCTTGAGTAAAGACCCACAATCCCCAGCCATAGCGGCAATCTTCTCCAGAACCGCTTGCTTGATGTTCTTCCTTCCATGCAGCTCTGGCACTCCTTCCTGTTCCACCTTGTTCAAAATCGCTGCCAATGCCGAGCACGACACGAAGGAAATGCCTCTACGGAAAGCATCGAGATGGTCCAGCTTCTGCTTCTTGGAAGCTGAGCTGGAGGACTTAGCCATAAAGCATGGCTTGTGATATGATCCCTACCCTAAACTCAAAGACTTGGACAGCTGGGTATGTGACAACAACCTCATGCAGTTTTGCAATGCAAGCATGCAAGCAAGTGAGAAGCCAGCCCTAAGCGCTAGGAACAAGCAGCAACAGCCCTTTTTGCCGAAGGCTGGACATGTATAGTGCATGGAATCCCCTTGTGCTACCTTTTTCAGGTAGGTCGGATGCAACCATGCAAGGTCGCATCGAAAGTCCTCGGGCATAGAGCACTCTATGCACCTGTGTGCACCCAAACCCTGGGACCTGGATCAGTGCTTGGCCGCCTTCTTCCGTTCCTCCATGTACTTCTTCCATACGGCCCGACCGTTGAGTCGCACACCGGCGAACCCATCGAAATTGCAATTGTCGCAGCCATACACATTGCCACGGCATCTTGCACAGCCCCAGCAGGTGAGCCTTCCGTCCTGCTTGGCAGCCTTCTTCTCCTTGTTCATCGGGTGTTTCTCAACACACTTCGCTGCAGGCTTTTTGAAGAGCTGTGGCATCTTCTGATTGCAAGGCTTCCCATTCTTCTTCTCCTGCTTCGGTGCTTTCGTATTCTTCACTTGTGCCAATGCCTCTGCTTTGTACTGTTCCAAGCTTTTGCCTTCGTTTGCCCCTGGCACCGACTGCTTTTCCGGAGACTTGTTTTCCGGAGCATCGGCGGGGCTCTGCGCCGGTACGTGCAGTAGAGGAATTTGCAGGTGTCGGCAGCAACTGGAGCTGCCGGATCACCTCGTCCTTGGAGGGCATGTAACTCGAGGGGCATGACTGCTTGAGTGCAGCTTGTCTGGCTTCCTCCTCGGCAAGCTTTTCTTTCATGGTCTCCAGCCAAGTCTTTTGCTGCATGGCACATGTTGCAAGCAAGCTGGTTGGAACCCTGAGAAGTGCCTTTGAGCAGCCGGCTGGTGGTGCGGATTGGGCACGACTTGGACAAGACATGCAGCTGTGGCAGCTCTGCACAGCTGGGGTGAGAACCTTTATAGGCTTTGGCAATCCAATCTGGTCCCAACTCTCGAGGATCGTCTGGATATGTCCGGAAGGCAGGCACATCACTCTGTACGTTCAGGCTGTGAAAAACGTCCTGGAAGTCAGTCGGTAATTTGTAGATTTTGTCTGCATCTGGTTGTTGGAGATTTTGCCAAAGATGGGGCACATGCAAAGTGACACAGGATTTCTTCGTACATTCTTTGCGGCTCGTCAAGCCAATCACCCGAAGCCGTCTGGCAATGAGGATCGGGGCGTCCTTGATGTCACCTTGCATAAGCTGCACGATTTCCTCTTTCGTCAAACAAGCCACTGGGTTCTTCAGTGTCTGCGGAACTTTGACGAGCTTGCAGCCACCTTCCGTGCTGCCACCTGAAGCATTCTTCAAAAGAGCATCACTCAATGCCTTTTTTGTATTTTCGTCCAATCCAGACTGTTCCACAGACTGGAGCATGTTGACATACTCCCCTGCCGGCAAACTGTCGGCAGTCACGATCTTCTTTTGCAAGACATTCAAAAGACTCGCCTGGAGCTGTGGATTCGGAGAGAAGCTCAAAAGCTTCTGGACATCCGAAAGCTCCTTGGCAAAGTCCTTGCTGCCCCAAGCAATTGCCATGAGTCCAAGGACCCAGGACCTAAATGATTGGGGCCTGTGCTAGGAGCCTGAGCCCGTAAGCTTGCCACCAAGGGCCAGAACACGAACAATTAGCAAGTTTGAGGCGTCCCAAGTATAACTCAATCAAAACAGGCTGCTTATTGAAACCTTTTCAGTACCGCAGTCCTCGAGAAGCTTATGCTCCTTCACCTCACGCCAAACCCTAAACATAAGACCCTCCAGGCCCTGAACCTCCAAGCAAAACAAGATACCTACGCTAGCTGGGTGGCCTCTGTTTTGACGCTGTTCTTGGTTCCTGGTGTTTCACCTTTAGTTTGATGTTTTCGCTTAGTCACAATTTTTTCACTTTTACTTTTTTCGCTGTTTTTACACTTTTACCTTTTTCGCTGCGTGGCGCGTTTTTACGATTTTACTGTTTTTCGCCGTTTTTACAGTTTTACGTTTTTCCTTCCGTGGCGCGTTTTTATGATTTTACGTTTTTTTCCGCTGTTTTTACGGTTTTACCTTTTTCGCGCGGTAAATTGTTTTTTGCAATTTTACGTTTTTCGTTTTTACCTTTCTCCTTTCCGCGGCGGAAATAGATCCGATCCTGCAATTTTTTACATTTTAACCGTTTTACATTTTTCGCCCCTGAAGTTGGGCCATCTGGTTTTTACATTTTTACATTTTTACCGTTTTACTCGCTTCCTCCGGTCAAAAATGTACTTTTCGATTTTTCGTTTTTACGTTTTTCGCTGCCGATGTGCGTCCGGACTCCTTAACTGTTTCAACAACACTAAGCCAGCACAGCTGCCTGCTACTAGTACAACGACGACGACGACGACGACTACGACTACTACTACTACGACTGCCACCACTACCACTATACCACTATGCCACTATACCACTATGCCAATATACTATACCCCTATATCACTATACCACTTTCCCACTTTCCCACTATACCGGTATACCACTATACCACTATACCGCTATACACCTGTGCGACTATACCAGTCTACCACCATACCACCATACCACCATACCACTATACCACTATACCACTATACCACTATACCACTATACCACTATACCACTATACCACTATACCACTGTATACCGCTATGCCACCATATCACTAAACCACTATACCACTATACCACTGCCCCCACCACCCACCACACACCACCACCACACCCCACCCCCACCACCCCCAAGTTCCTTGGATTGCCTGGACTCTGGCCGCGCTGGACAAGGAGACCCCACCACCCCCACCCACCACACCCCACCCACCGCCCCCACCAGCCCCCCCTCCACCCCCATTACTTCTGCTGCTGCTGCTGCTACGACGACGACTACTACCATTATCTTCGCCGCCAGCACTACCACTGCAACTTGCCATCCATTACCATTGCCCCTATCTCTTTGAAATTATTCCTACTATTACTCGTACTTTCACTACCACTGCTATTATTGCTGCTACTGCTGCTGCAACTGCTAACATTGCTTTTGCTGCCATTACTGCTACCAGTACCAGTGCTGATACTACTACGTAATGTTAGTAATGCTACTGGTAGCACTACGACGACGGTGACGAGCAGGTGCTGTTCATGTACTTCACGATGTGCTGCTTCTTGAATTGACTCTCCATGCTCTCTCGAGTAGTTGCAGAATCTGGGGCGAGCTGTCGATTTCAGAGTTTGCACAATCGCCCCATTTATTGGGCCAACCGGGCTTTCATGTCATATGTCTTGTGCAGTGTTATGTGGTGGCTTTTCGCATGGGCACGAGTTCCATGTTCACACTATTACATTCCCTTTGGCATCGTCACCATGTTAGCGCCTTCTGCGTTTTCACGTTGTTGTTCAGAAGTCTTCTTTGAGCATTCCAACCACAGCAAGCCTCTTTGATTGCACAGCGGTCCATAGCTGCATAGGGTTATTCTTTCGTTGTGTCCACTGCGCTTCATGTACTGGATGTTTGCATGCACATCTGTGCCGCAATAGCATTCATGCCGGCACAATGTGAATGTGAGATGCAGCAGTTCTTCTGAGCGTGTTTGCAAGGACGGGAGACAGTTGAGTCCACCTATGGGGACATTGCGCTGTGGGACGTGTCTGCCGTGACAGACATGAGCCGCCTCTTCGAGAGTCTCGACAACTTCAACGAGAACATCGTTTCGTGGAACGTTTCGGCCGTGACAGACATGAAGCATATGTTCCACATGGCTAGTTCCTTCAACCAGCCCCTCGACTCCTGGGATACGTCCTCCGTGACTGACATGAGCTACATGTTCAATGGGGCAGGTGCCTTCGATCAACCCATCGGCTCTTGGGACATCTCTTCTGTGACTAGCCTCAGAGGCATGTTCTCTGGCGCTGTTGCTTTCAATGAGCCCATCGGCTCTTGGAATACGTCCTCCGTCACCGACATGAGCGGCATGTTCGAAGAAGCACTGGCTTTCAGTCAACCTATCGGCTCGTGGGATACTTCCTCAGTAACTGACATGAGTTTCATGTTCAGTCAAGGCTACAGGAACTGGTGGTATGGGGCCTATGACTACAGCTACGAGTACGGCTACAGCTACGCCTATGGTTTTGGAGCTGGTTTTACAAGCTATGGTTTCAATGAGCCCATCGGTTCATGGAACACGGCGAAGGTCACCAACATGAGTGGGATGTTCAGGGGCGCGCATGAATTCAATCAGCCCATCGACACTTGGGACACGTCTTCAGTGGCTGACATGAGCCGCATGTTCGACAGGGCAGCGACGTTCAACCAGCCCCTCGACTCGTGGGATACGTCCTCGGTGAAGAACATGAGCTACATGTTTTCGGTGGCAATGTTGTTTAATCAACCCATCGGCTCGTGGGAGACGTCCTCGGTGACTGACATGAGCCACATGTTCGATGAAGGCAGTTCTTTCCTGGGTCCAAATCCTTTCAATCAGCCTATCGGCTCGTGGAACACCTCCTCCGTGACCAGCATGAGAGGCATGTTTGAGTGGGCTAGTGCCTTCAATCATCCCATTGGCTTGTGGAACACCTCTTCTGTGACTGACATGGGTTCGATGTTCATGGGTGCCAGAGCTTTCAATCAGCCCATTGGCTCGTGGAAAACATCTGCTGTGACGGACATGAGCGAGATGTTCATGGGCGCACATGCTTTCAATCAGCTTATCGACTCGTGGGATACCTCTTCCGTGATCAGCATGCGCGAGATGTTGCGCGAATGCCGTGCTTTCAATGAACCTATAGACTCCTGGAACACTTCTTCTGTGACTGACATGAGCGGCATGTTCAGGAGCGCCTCATCGTTCGAGCAATTCATCGGCTCTTGGGATACGTCCTCAGTGACTGACATGAGCGAGATGTTCCAGTCTACTCGAGCTTTCAATCAGTCTGTCGGCTCGTGGAACACATCCTCTGTGACCAGCCTGAGAGGGATGTTTGAGTGGGCTCGAGTTTTCAATCAGCCCATCGACACTTGGGACACGTCTTCAGTGACTGACATGGGCGGGATGTTTGAGCAGGCTCATGCTTTCAATCAGCCCCTCGGCTCGTGGAATACATCCTCGGTGAAGAGCATGAAGTACATGTTCCACAAATCAAGGTTGTTTGATCAACCCGTCGAATCTTGGGATACATCTTCGGTGACTGACATGAGCTACATGTACGACGAGGCGATGTCTTTCAATCAGCCCCTCGGATCGTGGGATACGTCCTCGGTGAAGAGCGTGAGCTACATGTTCCACAAATCAAGCTTGTTTAATCAACCCATCGGCTCTTGGGACACATCCTCGGTGACTGACATGAGCCACATGTTCGATGAGTTGGGTTCTCCATTCGACCACCCACTCAGCTCATGGAATACCCGCTCCGTGCGGAGCATGAGAGGCATGTTTAGGCGCGCAGCTGCTTTCAATCAGCCCGTCGGCTCGTGGAATACGTCTTCAGTGACTGACATGAAGCACATGTTCTACATGGCGAGTTCTTTCAACCAGCCCCTCGGTTCCTGGGATACGTCCGCCGTGACTGACATGAGCTACATGTTCAACGGGGCAGGTGCTTTCAATCAACCCATCGCTTCCTGGGATACGTCCTCGGTGACTGACATGAGCCACATGTTCGATGTCGATGAGTTGGGTTCTCCTTTCAATCAGCCACTCGGCTCTTGGGATACCTCCTCTGTGACCAGCATGCGCTGCATGTTTCGTGACGTTTATGCTTTCAACCAACCCCTCGGCTTGTGGAACACCTCTTCTGTGACCGACATGGGCTCGATGTTCATGGGTGCTAGAGCTTTCAATCAACCTATCGGCTCGTGGAAAACATCTGCCGTGACCAACATGAGCGAGATGTTCAGTGGCGCAACTGCTTTCAATGAGTACATCGACTCGTGGGATACCTCTTCCGTGACCAGCATGCGGCAGATGTTGCGCGAATGCTCTGCTTTCGATAAGCCAATCGGCTCATGGAACACTTCGTCTGTGACCGACATGAGCGAGATGCTTAGGAGTGCTGCAGCCTTCAATCAGCCAATCGGCTCGTGGATAACATCCTCTGTGCGAAGGATGACTGAGATGTTCAGGGGTGCAGCTGCTTTCAATCAGCCCATCGATTCGTGGGACACCTCCTCTGTGAGGGACATGAGCCGCATGTTCCAAGGGGCAATCTTGTTCAATCAACCCATCGGCTCTTGGGATACATCCGCAGTGACTGACATGAGCGAGATGTTCGGTGAGGGTTCTGCTTACGATGCTATCATCGGCTCGTTCTTCGTGTTCGCCGGGGCTCGTGGTTTCAATCAGCCCATCGGCTCATGGGACACGTCTTCTGTGACGGACATGAGCCACATGTTTTGGGGTGCTGAAGCTTTCAATCAACCCATTGGCTCCTGGGACACATCATCTGTTCAACAGATGCGAGGGATGTTCAGCAATGCACATGTGTTTGACCAACCCATTGCGTCTTGGGATACCTCGTCTGTGACCAGGATGGACTACATGTTCGAGAAAGCAAAGGCTTTCAATCAACCCATCGGCTCCTGGGACACGTCATCTGTTCGACGGATGGACGGGATGTTCAGCAATGCACATGTGTTTAACCAACCCATCGGATCTTGGGATACCTCGTCTGTTACCAGGATGGACTACATGTTCGAGAAAGCAGAGGCTTTCAATCAACCCATCGGCTCTTGGGACACTTCTTCTGTGGCCACCTTCAAGAGCACGTTTGCTGGCGCCGTTACTTTCAATGAGCCCATCGATTCATGGGATACTTCCTCTGCCACAGACGTAAGCTACATGTTCGCTGAGGCAGTCGTTTTCAATCAGCCCATCGATTCATTGGACACTTCAGCCGTTATCGACATGAGCAGCATGTTCGCCGAAGCTTTGGCTTTCAACCAACCGGTCGGCTCATGGGATACCTCCTCTGTGAAGACGATGGACAGACTGTTCTATGGGGCGGATGCTTTCAACCAGTCACTTCAGTCCTGGAACACAGTGGCCATGGCCACAGCGAAGGACATGTTTTCACCCACTAGCTTTTTGAAGCAGCCACCATGCCCATCAGGCGAAGCTCCGTCCACGAACGGGCTTGTTTGTGAGATTTGCCCACCTGACCACTTCTCATGGACTCATGGGACTGCTTGCCAAGCATGCCGTACAAACGCCTCATACCACTGCCCGGATTCCAGCGGTCTCAATTTGCCAGAAGATCGCGGCTACTGCAGAGATTGTCCCGACGACTGCGAGGGGTGCACGTCCATCTGCATGGCAGAGTTCCGCAGCAAGCCTCTAGGCTAATGCTGAGGAGATCTGTCGCGCATCATAGTCAGCTGCCACACTGTCAGGCAGTCTGGTTGTCAGAACGCAGGCAATGCAGCAATATCGTTTCGACAACAAATAATATACATACGTACATACATAGATTACATACATATATATATATATATATATATTTATGCAAAATATATGAATACAAAAAAACAAATGACTTTCTACATGCATATGTATATAATATATATATATATATATATATTTCCGTTTATATATATGTATATATATATATATATATATGTACTATATTGTTGATGTTGTATATGCGGTTTAGTCTACGAACTATACTTTTTTGTAGTAAAAGAGCTTCCCACCCCAGGTCCGAACTTCGAGCAGCAGTGGTCAACTGGGAAGCGGATGCCAATCGTGGCTTGCCTAGAGCTTTTGGAGAGTCACGGTTTAGGTTTTAGGGTTTTTTCGTGTAGGGTTTTCGTACGGCAGCGGTCAGTGCTATGTGATCGGAGGCACATGTAACTTTCTTACTAGGTGCCATACGTAGGGTTCTAGTTGCCTATAGTGGGTCCATGCATATACAAGTACAAGGAAGGGCGACAATGCGGTCCACTTACGGAGACATTGCCCGATGGGATGTTTCTGCGGTGACAGACATGCCTTTTCGGCTCCTCCGTTCTTGTTGAGTTACCAGAATTTAGGGTTCCTTTAAGGGCTCCTTTGAGGTTTTCGGGTTTAAGGTTTAGGGTTTAGGGCCCTTGTTAAGGGGATTCAGTGAAAGTTACCAGAATAATGAAGCCATATTATTCATACTATAGAGATCCCTATTATGGTAACTTTAATTTAAATCCTTAACAAGAACCCAGGCTATCTCTACTACTTCAACGAAGACATTAGCGCATGGACAGTTTCAGGCGTCAGGAACATGGAACTCATGTTCCAATGGGCAAGCTCCTTCAATCAGCCCCTCGACGCTTGGGATACGTCATCAGTGACCAACATGGCAGGCATGTTTAGTTTCGCAGCTGCTTTCAATCAGGGCATTAGCTCGTGGAATACTTCCCTGGTAACCGACATGAACAGCATGTTCAACGAAGCCTACGCTTTCAATCAGCCCATTGGCCAGTGGGATGTGTCCTCGGTGACTCGGATGCAGTACATGTTCTACCAGGCGACGTCTTTCAACCAGCCCCTCGGCTCATGGGATACCTCCTCTGTGACCGGCATGGATTACATGTTTGCGTTCGCAGCAGCTTTCAATGAACCCATCGGCTCCTGGAATACCTCCATGGTGGTAACCATGACGTACATGTTTCATGCTGCTGCAGCGTTCGATCAGCCCATCGGTTCTTGGGATACGTCCTCGGTGACCAGCATGAGAGGCATGTTGCAGAAGGCAGTGTCTTTCAATCAGCCGATCGCATCCTGGAACACTTCCTCTGTGGCTAGCATGTCAGTCATGTTCAATGAGGCGGTCGTGTTCAATCAGGCCATTGGCTCCTGGAATGTGCCACCCTACCTGCAGAGGATTGCGATGTTGGACGGCGCCACCGCCTTCGACTCGCCCCCCTGTGACGCAGGAGCCATCCCAAGCCCAAACCGGATCGCTTGCGAGCGCTGCCCCCCGGGCCACTTCGCGGTGGCGGCCTCCGAAAACTGTACTCGCTGTCCCTTTGGTTCCATTCCTGCACCAGACCATGGCACATGCGAGGAGTGTCCGCCCGGCAGGTTTTCAGGAGTCCTGGATTGCGATGACACTGCCTGCCAGTACGAGTGTTTCCTCGCTTTCCAAAACAAGCGCTTCGGCTGCATGCGACATACCCAGTTCGCATCAGTTCACATCAGTTGGGACGCGCTTCGCTCATTTTTCAGTCGTTTCTCTGACCAGGTCTGAGCTTCGCGCAGCTGTGTTGATCTGGGAAGCTGGCATTGATCGAATCCTGGCTCACCTAGTAAGGAGGATTGTAGAGAGATGAGCTCCATCGCCTCATACCAATCAAGCTACGCCAGCTTCTCTTTGCCGTAAGGTACGAGTCAGCAACGGCTGCGGTCCATCTATGGGGAAATAAAAGACTGGGACGTGTCGGCCCTGTCCGACATGAGCGGATTGTTCGAAGACCTCAGCAGTTTTAACGACGACATCAGCACATGGAATGTGGCCGGTGTGATGGACATGAGCCACATGTTCAAGGGTGCGCAATCCTTCGATCAGCCAATTGGCAACTGGCAGACATCATTAGTGGCTACAATGGCGCACATGTTTGATGGTGCGGCTGCCTTCAATCATGAGATTGGCTCGTGGGATGTTTCTAATGTGCAGACCATGAGCCACATGTTCCATGGAGCTGTTGCATTTAATCAGTCACTTGAAGCCTGGGACACGTCCCGCGTTTCAGACATGACGGCGCTGTTCTCAGATGCCGAATCCTTCAACCAGCCACTTGCCGGCTGGAACACATCCTCCGTGAGAAACATGAGCCAGATGTTCCGAGGTGCTTCTAGCTTCAACAGGCCAGTTGGCTCTTGGATGACAGGTGCCGTGATCCGAATGGATGGCATGTTTCAGAACGCAGGCATCTTCAATCAACCGCTCAGCAAATGGGACGTGTCTGGGGTGTCCGACGTGAGCAGCATGTTCCAAAATGCAGCAAGCTTCAACCGCCCTGTGGGAGGGTGGGATACGGCTCTCGTGACCAACATGCGCAGCATGTTCTCCGGAGCGACTGTGTTCGATCAGCCCATCGGCATGTGGGACACCTCGTCCGTCAAAGACATGTCTTTCATGTTCTCAGAAGCCACCTCCTTTAATCAGCTCGTCGAAAGCTGGAGCACTGTTTCTGTGACGAGCATGACCGGCATGTTCTTTGGGGCGTCAGTGTTCAACGGCTCCCTGCAAACGTGGGATACCTCGTCTGTGAGGAGCATGGCCCACATGTTTCAGGAGGCATCGGCATTCAATCAGCCCATCGGCTCGTGGCAAACATCGTCTGTAGCCGACATGAGCCACATGTTTGATGGGGCGGCCGCTTTCAACCAACCTATCGGCACCTGGAACGTTTCAGCAGTCCTTGACACGACGCTCATGTTCTCTGACGCAGAGTCCTTCAACCATCCCCTGGGATCATGGCTTTTGCCTGTGCCGGCGAGCCATGACATGTTTCGCGGCGCCGATGCCTTCAAGAGGCCGCCTTGCCCTGGGGGCTTTTCGCCTGCTATCAACGGATTAGGATGCGAGCCCTGTCCTGTGGGGCAGTTCGCTTCTGCTGGAGACCGGTGTGAGACCTGCCAACAAGGCTTCGTGCCAACCAGCGACGGTGAGGGCTGCCAGAAATGCCCGGATGGGAGCATCTCCGTGTCTGGTGCCTGTGAGGAGTGTGTTTTCCCATCCTTCATTGTGAACGATGCTTGCGAACTGTGGCCCCTGCCCGTGGTGTTGGTGTCCACAGCACTGGTGCTACTTGTGTTGTGGATCCTCATTTCCCGCTACAGGGCCCGGAAAGAAGCAAAGATCAGACGTGCTTTAGAGCCTTGACCAGTTCCAAGTGACCGGACACTAAGTTACCCCAACCACCCTTAAACGCTCAACATTGTGAAGTGCATACAAGTTTCTGATTTTCGTGGCGTTACTGGCTGATGCGTAGCCGGGGTAGCCTCGCCCAGGATGTAGCCTACCGCAACCTCTGGGACGAACATCCTGAGATCGAGAAACATGCGGCCACCCTCCAGAGCCTTGGGATGAAACGCATGCATGTGCAGCAGAAGTGGCTGAGATGCAGGCACAGCAGAGCTTGTTTGCAGGGGTTGGGCTGCACTATCTTCTCTCAGAGGACTTCGTCATAGTGGCAAGAGAGCGCACGGGCAAGGAGGACCCCACCTTCAATCACATGAAGGATGCATTCTGGATGTGCGATGAGCCGCTGGGCCACGACATCCGGTGTCCTCGGGATGGCAGGATGGGCTGTGCTCTGGTTGACTGGATCCCCAGAGCTGGACGACAGGAGCAATCCCATTTTATGTCCTGGACATGGCGCTACAGCTTGTCCGAGGTGCAAAGTGCCCTACGGCTCTTTCAAGGGAGTGTTGAGGCAAGCAAAGTCTTCTTCTACATGTGCTTCTTCGTCAATAATCAATTCAGGATCATATTGGAGTCTACCGGGATGGATGCCGAGGATTTGGAAGCTGTCTTTGAGAGCAACCTGCGGCGCATTGGCCGTGTGGTGGCCATCCTTGACACATGGGACAACCCCATGTATTTAACGAGGATTTGGACTGTCTACGAGCAGTTCATGGCCACCAAGTTGGAAGTCCCTGTAACTTTCGTCATGCCCGACACAGCCATGCCTTCCGCTCAAGAACAGATGTTGAAAGGTGAAGTGGGCATGAGACGCATCACGGAGGCTCTCTGCAATGCAGATTCTGAGAATGCAGAAGCGTGGATGAAGGAGGATGAAGTCAAAGTCAAAGGACCGGCTGGCAACGGGTGTAGTCCATGTTTTGCGTTCGCTTGTGTTGTGTCTTGCAAGGGATGCGTTCGCATGACTCGGGGGGGAGCGGTGGAGTAGTGCCAGACAGGACTCATTCGCAACAGCGTCGGCTTCGATCACGTCAACATGCATGTGACGCAAGTGATGGTCCAATGGATCTTGAGGATAATGCAAAACCAGTTCGAGGACCAAATCAGCCGAGTTCGGTTCCGATTGTTCACGCAAAGGCGCCAGAAGAAGAACGCGATGGCTTCCCCGGCATCGAGTTTTGTTGAAATTTGATGATCCTGGACCTGCTTACTAGTCGAAGCAGCAGCAGAGTGGTAGCGGTGGTAGTGGAAGTGGTAGCATCCCAACTCAATGTAAGCATTCTTACCAAAAGTAGTCTGCCACTATAACCACTACTACTCCTACTACAACTACTGCTACTACTACTCCTACTACGACTACTACTTACTACGACCACTACTACTACTACGACGACGACGACGACGACTACTACTACTACTACTACGACCAGTGGCTCTACTGCCACTGCCACATCTAGAGATGTGGGGGGAGCCTTCCTGGGCGCCGGCGTGCCTGTATAGCCAGCTTGTCTCCCTGGTTCGTAGTCGGATTCGGGGCAAAGCACCCCGAAGCTCCGACAACGTCTCGGCCACTGTCGGCAGGGCCGCATAGGGCCGCGCTCACGAGCCTAGAGCTCGTTGTAGGTTGCGAAAAAGAGGACTTGCGTTTGTTTTGTGCGTGATTCCCGGTTGTTGTGACCCACCGCCATAAAAGACCCCACATGCAGGGGTTGACTGCGTAACTGCGTCAACAGAAGTAGAATTGGCTGTTTTTGTGCGTGCTTCTTGGGTGGTGTATTACCGAGCACAACGTTGGCACAGAGCGAGCAGCAGACATTTTATGTTTGGCCTGTTCTTGTTCGTGTTGGCTTGCCCAGACTTTCTCGCGGGTGCAGCAGAAGGGCTCTCTTGCTTGAAGGAGGGGGCCAGGGGGTGAGGAGGTGACGAGGAAAGGGGTTGATGCGCCTTATTTGTGTCTTTTTGTTTGTGTTATCTGCATCTTTTTTCCTCGTTGATTTTTGGTAACTGCCACGATGTGTTCAGCTCAGTGGGTTAGCTGAGTTTCTTTTTCTGTGTTAAATATCTGTTTCTTCTATTTGTACGTTATCTGTTTCGTTTTTCTCCTTCACATCTGGTTTCTAAGCCCCCAGAGTCTTGAAGATCGAGCCAGAGCAGGGTTTTGCTGGGTTGAGCAGACGGTTCGAACCCCTCGGAGCTCTCCTGCACGCTTTACACCTAGTTTACAAAGCGCTGACCGGATTGCTGGAATTTGCACTTGCATTGACCTACATGGTGCTGTTGGAAGTGGAGCCGAGCATGTGTTTCGACTGCCCGACACCTCTCCTTGGAGGCTTTTCATCTGGATAAAACTGTGCCTGGAGATACCAAATGGGAGGAGTAGGAGTAGTTTAGCAAAGCACCTTTTCTACGCACGTATTCTGTAGTACTCTACGGCGTAGTATATGCCGTAGTGTAGGTGCATTCGCAATACATCCCTAGAGTGTGTGGTAATTGTTTCTCGCTCCAGAGGTCGTCATGTATCCATGTGCTCGCAACATGGCTGCCATGGTGACCACCACGCTGGTCTTTTTTTGGTTGAGCGTGCCTTGCCGCGCCTTCCAAGCCTTCAGGAACAGGCCCACACTTCCCGCCCCATCTCCCCCTCCTGCCTTGGCTCCTGTGCGAAGCTGTTTTGAGGGCCTGAGGGTTAGACTTGCAGGTCCGAGCTGAAGGAGGCAGTCGATGGATGGCAAAACCTCGGAAGAACCTCAGCTGCAAGGACGGCGATTTTTTGCTCGAGACCAGGTCAGGGGAGCCGTAGGATGGCAGAGGCAACATGTTTGTGCGGCCGCGTGAATGACCACGACGACGAATACTAGTACTATTATACTGGTATGACTGCGATGACCACAAGCAAAATTATTGCTATTGCTATAGGTATTGGAATTACAACTATTACGACTACTGCTACTATTACTGCTACTACTACGACTACTACTACTACGACTACTACTACGACTACTACTACGACTACTACTACTGCTACTACTACCACCACTACTACTCCTAGTATCCTAGTACTACTAGTACTAGTACTGCTACTGCTAGTGCTACTAGTACTATACTGCTTACTATCACTCCTACTATGTCGGGAAATGATCTGTTTGGTGTATGCTGGCGTCATTGCAGCTGTTACGTGTCTGGCAGCAGGCTTGGGCATGTTTTTCCGACTGACAGCGGCGGCTCCAAGCAGAAGAGCTATCAGTCCGTCCTGGAAGAGACATGAGAAAACAGGCATTGCCTGCGCTGCTAGCTACACATACTGCCATTGGCACCATATGTTTTGGGCAGGGCTCACTGATGCCAGGAGCGACTGCCACTGGCCCCAGAGTCGGAGCCACGGTTCCACCATCCACCTCGAGACCAGGCATCGCCGTCCCGATAGCGCTTGTCAGTGTGGGACTGTGTCTCCTCACCGGAGCGCTTGTCGCGCTGCTCTCGCTGACGATGCCATTGATAGACGGCTGTGTCACCTTTGTTGTGCTCAATCCGGAGCTTGCGGACAATTTGTCCATCTCGGGGCTGGTAGAAGATGGCACGATTTTGGCCGCCGCTCTTTCTGGAAGTTTGGTCGTAGATGCACTTGACGGTGGAGGCCACGATCTCAAAGTTCTCATCCGTCTCAAGCACAGCATTCATGTCCACATGGTCCCACATTTTCTGGAATAAGGCGTGCACGATGCCATAGTACGCCGCGGTAGACTTGAGCTCGGTGTAGTACTTGCAGCACTACTGCTAGTACTACCACTACTCCTACTCCTGCTCCTACTCCAACACCTGCTCCTACTCGTACTGGTACTGCGCCTGCTACTTCGACTGCGACTTTGACTGCAACTGCCACTGCTACTGCTACGGCTACGGCCACTGCTACTGCTACTGCTGGTACTACTACTACTACTACTACTACTACTACTACTACTACTACTACTACTACTACTACTACTACTACTACTACTACTACTACTACCTACTATTACTACTCAATACTAGTAGGACTGCTACCACAAGTACTACGACGGGTACCACGATTATCATTACTATTACTACTCCTGCTGCTGCTGCTGCTACTTCTACTATAGCGCTACTACTGCTACTACTGCTACGGCTGCTACTATTGCTACTACTGCTACTACTGCTGCTACTGCTATCACTGCTACTACTGCCACTACTGCTATCACTGCCAATACTGCTACTACTGCTACCACCGCTACTACTGCTATTGCTACTACTGCTACCTACTGCTACTACTGCTACTACTGCTACTTTTCCTACTTCTGCTACTACTGCTATTGCTACGACTGCTACTACTGCTATTGCTACTACTGGTGCTACTGCTACTATTACTATTACTTGTTAAGCATTCTGACTCAGGAACAGCCCTGCCTTGACTACAGGTTGCAGTGGCAGGAAGCGGGCCGCAACACTAAGGCTCGAACCGCCGGCGTCTACAAGGCCGCTTGCAGGAAAGTCGCGAGTGTTTCCAGGTAGGCACTGCTGCAGGAAAGCCCCGTTTTCTAATAAATTACCACTACGACGACGATGAGGACGACGATCTGGAACGAAAGCTATTGCTATTGCTACTGCTATTGCTGCTTAAACTGCTACTACCATGGTTTCCGCTACCACTACGACTGCCAGAAGCAGTACCATTGCCAGCCGAAGACCACTACCACTACCACTACCCTTACCTTTAGCACTGGCACTGCCACTGCCCATACCACTTCCTTAGAACCAGTACCTGTACAAGTACCACTGCTACTACCACTACCACTACTACTGCTGCTACTACAACTAGTACTATCGCTACTACTACTACTACTACTACGACTACTCCTACCTCTACTATTACCACTACTACTACTACTACTACTACTACTACTACTACAAAGGGTCTCGGCTGGAGCTCAGCTGAAGTTAGGGCCGCGCGGCGAGGGTTAATGGCGTTTTTGACTACTTGCTGCTGGTGTGTGATACTGACGATGCACTATGATGTGCAAGGCCCGAATACTGCCCAGCTGCATGGGTCCCAAGTCCCATGGTGTTCACCGGATGCACGGAATGATGAGGATCTACGACCGAGCACAGACCCGAGGGTTGCGTGCGCCATCGCAACGCACGTGGAAGCTCCGACAGGGGCGAAAAAGACTGAGAATGGCAAATCGAACAATGCTTTTTTCATTTTCATGGACGGCGAAGAGAGCCTACCGACGAGCCAGACAGCGAGCCGCTGCCAATGGAGGAACGATGTACAGAGGAGAGTGGCGCACCGCTGCTTCTTTAGGGGCTCACAATGCCCGGGACGCTACCACTGCTGATGCTACTGCCGCTCGAGGGGCAGTTCGACACAGGCCGACCGCACGGCCGACAGGAAAGCCACTGCGTGTGATGACGTACAACATAGGTGGCACTTCTGGAGAAAGCATATGCTGTGTTCTGCGATTGGCTGGTGAGGCAAAATGTCGCGGATCTGGTACTGGTGCAAGAGCTGCATTGGGGCTGTGGGCAAGATGAAAACACGTGGCTGATAGGAGCCTGGAAGGCTGTTGTCTCCCCGGACCCGGGCAACCGCTACTGTGGTGTTGGTGTTTTTATCTCACCCACAAGCCGCGCTGCCGTTAGTCACTGCGTGTGGATACCTGGTCGCCTCCTCCACGTCAGGTGTGAGACACCCAAGGTGACGCTGGACGTGGTGAACGCATATCAGTGGGCGATAGACCATCGCAAACCGCAGATAAATGATCAACGACGACAGCAGGTTTGGCAGCAGCTGAGCAAATTATTGCAGGGCCTACCGCGGCGGAATCTACTTATAGTGGGCATGGATGCAAATGCCACCTGCAGACCGCTGGATAGTCTGGCTGGCCGTGGAGTCCCGCTGACAGGACAACACAGTGCCTCGGAAGACTTGATGCAGCTGCTTCAGGTTAATCAGCTTGTCCTGCTTAATACGTGGAAGCAATCTAGGCCCTCTGCTGCCCATACCTTTTACAACGGTACTCACAATACCCAAATAGACTTTCTTGCAACGCGTAGACACACTGCTGACCCCGTCGCCAGGAGGCTGGCACGACCCGTAAACCTGGATCTCACCCCCTGGAGGTTTGGACCCAAACACCGTCCTGTATGCTGCTGTCTAAAATGGAGAGCAGGCTGGTACGGACAACCTGCTAGTAAGCCCAAACCGGCTAGTCCCCCACTGTGCTGGCTACGGGAGGCGCTCAAAAGTGACGGGGAGAGTATTACTGGTCTCCTGCAGCCGAAGCGTTTCGTGTTTTTGTTCACGTATGTTTTAGAAGGCATGTGAATCTATAGCACATCGCAGCACTGGCTCTAGCACTTGAGTCTTCTCGAAAAAAATCGAGAGTAGCCCTAGCTACTGCCTTTGTAGTTAGTTGTTGCAGCCTTAGTGCGACGCCATGTTGCCCGCAGACATAGTTGTGCCACTCACCATGTTTTCTTGGGAGCTCAACCAAGAACCGCCCTCGCCTAGGCCTTCGCCTTTGCCTCCGCGGTGGGTTCGCCCCCCGGACTTTGCCTTTGCCCCAGCCAGGCTCGCTTCCCATAACTGGGCTTGGTACGTTGTGACCTTCACAGAGTGCTTTGCGCTAGCTCCGCATGAGGGTCAGCCTTTGGAGCCTTGCCTCCAGGAGTTCCTTTTCTCCTGGACCGTTTGCCCTCGCATTCTCATTTGCCTTCAGGTTCATGAGTGGTTGCCTCTTGTTCTAGCCAATGATGAGTGTCATCAGTTGATGGTTGAGATGCTGTTTTGAGCCCTCTTGGGTCTCTCAGGTCCCAGCCGCGACCTCAGCCAGCACAATCAGCATGGACCTTCGGGAGCCTGACCCATACTTCGTGCCTCTGCGTATTTTGCCTTTCAGTGGCATTTGCCAGGCCTTTTGGATGCCTTGCCTCTCCCAGGATTTATGGGTCAGCCGAACGGCTCTCGCCTTCAGGACCTCCTCATTTCCAGTACGGTGGGCCCACGCCTGCTTTTGTTTTCTGGCGGGCCTTCTTGGCTGCACATTGCCCTGCTTTCTCAGGAAACCCATGAATACCTAGTTTCTCATCTTGACATTACAGACTAGCCCTGCCCAGGTCTTAGCCTGTGCCCTAGATGTCCGCCTCTGGGTCAGCCTGGCTCGGGCCTCGGACAGCCGAGCCTGACTCTGAGCTCTCTCCCGGTGCATCCAGAGCCTCGGCCCCAGCCGATCTCTCAGCCGGTCAGCCTGCAGCACAGCCGCAGCCAGTTAAAGCCTTCTTGCCCTTAGGGGGAGGTTATCAAAGTTATCATTTCCTCCCCCCAGCATATTTTGAGCGTTTTGCATTATCCCCTCAGGGCTCTGAGGAGGCTAGCCATGACTCCGGCAGTGTCTGGATAGCCCCGGAAAACCCTGCACCAAGCACACGTTCCGACACTTCCCGGGCCTCCAGCCTTGGCTCAGCTATTCCGGGACTACGCTACCGCCACCCCTTGCCCTGGCTGCCCTTCAAGGTACCACTTCTGTGGTTAATGCAGCCGCCTTTGTGCCAGATCCTTTGGTTCCCGACTAAGGACCTTCGACAGCCTTTCTTAGGCTGGAGCCTTGAAGGCCTTTTCTTCGGAGTGGCGCCTTGTGCCAACATCCTGCTCCGCGCAGGCTCCCGCCAGGAAGTCGTTGCCCTTTGCTGCCTTAACAAAGCATGTCACGACTACATTGCTGAGCGCATTACCACGGCCCGTCGGTGACGGGTCCATGGTGCCGGCCCTCCCCAGCCCTCAGTTGGAGCAGCAGCCTTCTTTTTGTCACCTTGGTCCATATGCCCGGCTGTCTCTCAGGCACCTGCATCGACTCAGCCGTTGCAGCCTTACAGAGCCTGTGCCAACGAGAAAGCCAGTTAAACCCAGTAGGCACCTCAAGCCTTCCATGAGCCCTTTCCTAAATAAGTCTGGATTTCAAGTTCAATTATGCTTTAAAACCGATTCTAATACCTCATTGCGGGTTTTAGGGATTAGCTTCGAGATACAATTAAAATCGATGTTAATACCTTCTCAAATTTTCTCTTGCCAATGACTTGAAATCAATTTTAATACCCTGGTCCAGAGGTTCTGGGTTCGGAAACACTTGGAATCGATTTTAAAGGGTTTGGCTATTGGGACCCCTGCACAGGGCATTAAAATCGATTTTCATTGGTCCGCCTCGTGACAACACTTGGAATCGATTTTAATTGATTTGGCTATTGGGACCCCTGCACAGGGTATTAAAATCGATTTTAATTGGTCCGCCTCGTGACAACACTTGGAATCGATTTTAATTGATTTGGCTATTGGGACCCCTGCACAGGGTATTAAAATCGATTTTAATTGATATGGGACGCATTTGTACAGCTGGATGACAGGACTTGGCACCGTTTAAAGCATTAAGGGAGCGATAGCAACCCTACGGTTTCGTGATCTAGGCTTTCGTACCCAGGTGCTATACTTAAAGGTTCATGGGACTTAGTAACTATGGTTATAAATAAGGTAACTAGACTTAAAATTGGTTATAACCCCAGTTAAGGTACCTATAACTGTACTTACTAAGTCCCATGAACCCCCAAGTAGAGCTTCAGGGCTTGGGGATTTGGGGTTTTGAGGGTTTACCTGTAGCCCCAATGTAACCCTAAACCCTTAACCCTTCACCCTTAACCTTTAACCTAAACCCTAAACCCTAAACCCTAAACCCTAAGCCTAAACACCAACCCCTAAACCCCAACCCCTAAACCCTGTCTCTGTTTTTCGTTTGACCACTCTGTGACTGCGTGTAGCAGAGTGAAGAAACAGACAATGCCACACAAACCCTAAACCTTGAACCCTCTGCCCTCAGAGTGCTGAGACCTGAACACAAACCTTCAACTCTGAACCCTAAACTCTCTACCGTCAGAGTGCTGCAAACCGAAAGACCTGAACCCAAAGCCGTGAACCTGAAACCCAAGGACCGAGCTCCGCGGACCTCACCCCTAGACCTTAAGCCCTTAACGCTCTACAATACCCTCAGAGTCCTGCAAAGCCGAAAGACCTGAACCCAAAGCCTTGCGCCCTAAACCCAACAAGGAGCCCTGTGAAGCCCGACAACCTGAAACCGACACCCACCCTTAACCCCACAGACCTCAACCCTAAACCTTAAACCCTAGACCGTCTACCCTCAGAGTGCTGCAAAGCCCGTAGACCTGAACCCACAGCTCTTGTGAAACCCGAGGACCTCAACCCGAAACTCTTCCCGAAACCCTGACCCGTTCTGGAAACCGTCAGGGAAACCGTCCTCCAAGCAAGAAGTATTAAAATCGATTTTAATACCTCCCGGGCGGAGTGGCCGTCCATATGTATTAACATCGATTTAAATACACCCGTGTGCCTGGTCAAGTCACCCTGGAAGGTATTAAAATCGATGTTAATTTATGTCCCTGGCCGACACGGCCCGCCCTCCGGGCGAATATTAAACTCGATTTTAATTGACAATTAAAATCGAAATCCAGTGCCATCCGCCCTTTCCTGCAGCTCGCCCTGCTCATCCGTTCTGCCCCGCAGGTTTCTTCGAGCCCCGGCCCGTGCCTCAGCCTCCCAAGCCAGTACGAGCGTGTGCCAAGATGCTGGTCCGAGCAGGCCTGAGATGCCCATAATGCTTTCAGGTCAAGCCCAAGTTTGCCTCAGCAAGCGCCTTGCTGCCGGCTCCGCCCACCACTTCCCCTACCTTCAGCCCACCCTCTGCGGACGATCAGCCCGACTCAGCGGATTTTTCAGGTTCCACCTGACGTCCCCGACTGCCGGAGCTTCCTCGAGCCCCGGCCTTGTTTCCAGCATCGGTCCCGTGCATCAGACCTTTCGGCTTAGACACCATGAGGGCGAACCAGCAGCCCCGCCGCCAAGATCAGAGGGCCCAGTGGTCCGCTTGGCCTTCTTATGCCAATAGCCCTGCCCTGCAATGGAATCAGGGCCAGCCCACAGCCAACACGACGAACCTTACAGCCATTGGCCGTATGAATGCCGGCCTTTCTGGACCTCTAGCCTTTGACCCCGACACTAGTTCGGCCTACGAAGCCTTGCAGCCTCAGCCCTCCACACAGGACTTCAGCCAGGACCCTGCGGAAGAGCCGACGGTGCAAGCCCTAGCCGATCGTCTCCGGGCCTTGGAGGTCGGCATTCTGGAAGCCGACCGCCGTGGAGCACAACAAGCCTTGTGGCACCACAGTCGCCGAGCACACGAGCAACCCCGCCTTCCCTGCCTTCTATCGCCTTGGGTCTTCATCAGCGCAAAAGTCGACGCCGTCAAGATCCGCCTTGACCAGGTTTACATTAGGCTTGCGGGATTGCTCCTGACACTTCAGCAAGCCTTTCCGCCCTTTGCAGCCTTCTTTACCGAGGCAGCCGTGGATGCCTGCCAGTACCAAGGACCGTCAGCCCTTCTGGACTCCGAAGGAGACCCTGAAGCTTAGCCTTGCACAGCCTTGCCGAAAAAGCTGCTGCATGCCGTTGGCCTTGCAACTCATCGACCCTGCTGCTCACCCCAGGTCCAGCCTTCTTCAGGCCGGAGTCTTTTCAGGGCCGTCGCTGTGACACCGACTTGCCCTGACAGGCCCGGGCTCAGCCACTGGCCGATTGGACACGAGGACCCATGCCTGCACTCTTTCACCAGCTTTGCCATGCCTGCAATTGCCACTCCCCTTTAGCATTTCTTGCTACAAGTCCTATGGGAGCTTCAGCATCATCACCAGCCATGGCTTCAGACCGCGATGCCTTTGCCGATTGGTTGAAGACGCTGTCTCCAGCCGAGCTAGGCAAAATCAGAGCCATGCACTCAGCCTCAGCGCAGACTGCAGCCGATACTGCCGTGGAAGATGATGCTCGGCCTTCGGATAATCCTTATGGCCTATCCCCGCGTAGCCTTCTTATCTACCAGAACCAGGAAGCTTTTTACCACGCACAAGACGGGTGTTATACCGGCCCTATTCCAGCCTGTTTTGATTACGTTCCACCTCAGGACATGGCAGACCTTCAGGAAGCCGACACGGCTCAGCCGCCCCAGCCTTCTCAGCCAACAGCCACCTTGCCGGAAACGGCCGCAGAAGCCGTGACGGAGGAGCCCATGCAAGCCGGGTGAGTATTTGCCAATGGAAGAGCCTTCCTCTTCCACAACCTCTACAGCCTTCCACGCCCAGCCCCAAGCGGGCCTTTACTCTATGATGGGTGAGTTCATAGAGATGCCTGCCGTGATCACTGCAGCCTCGCACCAACAGCCTTTCCCCCTGCTCTTCTTCGACTCCGAGGCCCAGACCAAGCCGATTAACCGACACGAGCTCTGGCAGCTGATCAGGCGCCCTGACTTGGGCGTCGCCAGGGACTCCGGAGCCTATACCTCACTGCCGACAAGTTTCCCATCAGCCCTCCGCCCAGCTTTTTTCCCAACTTCCCAAATGCGCCTCTCAGCGGCACCGGGGACATCTCGCCCATGCCCCACGCCAACGCAGACCCCCCGCCAGTCAAGGCAGTGCCAACTGGTGCCATTCCGCCGCCTAAGCCTTCCCAACCACAGCCCTCCGAGAGGCCACAACAGAAACGCCCTCCGGAGGTTCCCCAGAACTGGAAGCCCCCGGCGCAGCAGACCTTCCTGCCCGACACACCAAGTGCACCAGTCTCCGCCACCCAAGCCTACACAGCCTTCGCCACAGCCCGCCGCGCAAACGGCGCCAGCCATCGCCTCAGCACCCGTTCAGGAGCGGCGCCTTGCCCTGAGCCCTCCCCACCGGGGCCGCCCAAGCAGGCTGGCACTGCTACGTCAGACCCTCCGCGTGCGGGGAAGGCGTCTTTTTCAAGCCCGAGTTCCTCGCGGCGGAGCATCAGCCTACGTATGCCGGCCCTTACCGCCCTCAGGAGCCTTTCGGCTTGGCGGTTATCTGGGATTGCCGAACCTGGGTCAACTATTTCGGCGGGGAGCCGCCTGCCGCATCGAGATTTGAGCCAGGACAAGACACCCAGCCGCCGCCCACCGAGCCTTCCCAGGACAGGGTCCGGAGCCAGCCAATCAGGAGTTCCGGCCTTGCCAGCCTCTCCCCGCCTGGTTTTCAGCCGATACTGGAGTGCTCCGGTATTGGCACCACGGGGCAACGGGGAAGAACAATCCCCGTAACATGGGGAAACAGTCAATTCCCACTATGTGCCTCCGGAAGCCTTGGTTGACCGCAGAAAAGGCATTACCATCGAGCCACCTTCCGAGCCCTACCTCTACAAGCCGCCAGCCCTCGCCCTGCCGCGACTGCCTTGCCCTAACATGCGCAACTGCATCATGGTGCCCAGCCTTACCCTGCCGCACACCTACGAGCTGGACCCAGCCTTTGCCAGGATGTATTATATGGGAAGCCGTGGCGAGATGAGATGCGGCCTTCCCTGCTCAACCGTGCCTTTCTGTCCGTTCCATTCAGCCTGCGGTCGTGAGCTCAACAAAAATACTGTTGAGCACGACGATAAGCACTCGGGCCATCAGTGCTCACGCTGTAAAGAATTTACAGACCTTAATCGCAGCCCTTTTGAATGGTTTTCAGCCGTGCCGACACAAGCCTCCACGGGTTAGCCTTCATGCCTTAGCAGCTTCGATCAGCCTTCTTCGTGCCTACGGTTTATAGCAGTTCAGCCTAGCCGTAAGCCCTCTTCGAGGCTCAGGCTCTCAGCAGCGAAGCCCGAGACGGCCGCCATCGGCCTGCCAAAAAGAGCAACTTGCGATTGTCCCGTATGCCTACTTGCCGACCGGGTTTTCAAAGGGCTCTGACTTCCCCAGCACAGCTTGATGCAGTCAGTCGGGTACGCCTTCTGTTAGCCTCCGGTAGCCCACTATGGATCCGGACCCAGATCAGGACGATATTACAGTGGCCTTGAATCATGGAGCCCTGTGAACAGCATACACAGCGATGCGCAGCGCACAGGCAGGTCCCTTCCGGCTCCCCTTTGGGCGCTCTCGGGCCTCCTCCATCCAGACGACGACCAGGACGTTGCCTTCCAGGCGGGCCGCAGCAGGAGCCCCAGCCGAGACCGGGCGGAGCCTTCTCAGCCGGACCCTGCCTTGGTCGTGAAGCGGTTTCGCAAAGACGCTGCTGCCGTCGCTTCAACAGTCAGCCCTATACCGCCAGGGACCGGTGCCTACCCAATCCTGCCATTGCAGACAGCCAAGAAAGCGCATCCGGGCCTCCCCCCGCCGGCCATGCCGCCGGGGATGCGCCCTGTGCCGCCTTTCTCAGTGAACAGCCTTATTCGACCGCTTTCCATGAGGCTGCCCCTTCCCTCAGGACTGCCAACACGACCTCGGTTTCCGCCCTCCCTCAGCAAAGGAGGCTTGATTCAGCCGCCGGAGCCTCGACCAGCTGGCATTCGAGCCTGTTAGGTCACAGCCATCCGGTCAGCAAGCCTATTCCCCGCCCACTGCCGCGGAGTCTGCAGTACGTGGCCCCTCAGCGGATGCAGCCTACGTTGCACAGGCCACTGGGGCCTCGGTTCCACGTGCAAGACCTGCCTACCCAAGCCGACGGGCGTCCCGCACAGATCACCAGGAAGGGACAGGAGGCCTCTAGAAAGGCCAAAGCCCTTGAGCAATGGAAGGAACTCCTTTGGGTCCTCGGAGACTCGTAGCCTTCAAGAAGCCAAGTATTCACAGCAGCTGCTCATGCAGAGCATACAGCCTTTCACGGCAGGCACCTTGGAGACCTACTTGTCCGCCTGTCGGCAGTTCATGGAGTACCTTGTCCTCAACTGCCTAGAGATTACGTCGATTTCGGTCGCCAGCCTTGGAGACCTCTTTTGGGCGTGCCACGCTAGCCTCGAGGAGGACCGAGAAGTCTGCCGCACCGGCCCTAAGCCTATGCTTAAAGCCTTAGCCTGGCTTGCCAAAACAGCCGGCCTAGCCCAGCTTTCTGCTATCCTGTCAGACCGCTTGATTAGGTCCTTTGCATCCCAAGCCGAAACAGACCGCAGAGAAGCCTTGCCATTGCCTCTCGCGATTGTCACAGCATGGGAACGCCGCATATGCGAGCTGGATTGCCCTTTGGAGATGTGCCTTCTCCTCGGGGGGTTCCTCCTCGCCCTTCACGGAGGCCTTCGTTTTGGCGATCTCCAGCGCATCAGCTTCAAAAGCCTCTCCCTCACCGGACACAGCCTACGCGGGGTCTGCTGGCATACCAAAACCACGAAGAGAGGTCAGCCTTTTGCCGTGCGCCTGCATGGGATCTCGGGTCGCGACCCCTCCAGCCTTTGGGTCCTGCCTTTCCTTAGAGCCGTACAGTCCGCCTGGGAGCGCACGGAGTCAATCTACGGGTCCCGAACCTGCCCGGACTTCATCCTGCCAACCCTTCACAACCTAGGGGGTTTCCCAGGCAAGCCAGCCACTGCATATCATCAGCCCATGTCTTACAGCCAAGCACTCGGCAGCCTTCGGTTCTTCATGTGCCGTCGACACCTAGCAGGCTCCTCACCGGACCTTTTAACTCGCGAGGAAGCTTCAGCCTTCACCATGCACAGCCTCAAGGTCTGCCTTCTCAGCGCCGGTGCCCAGATTCAGGCAGCTGACAAGATCCGACAGCAGCAAGGCCATCACAAAAACCCTAGCGTACAGCTCTACGGCAGAGATGACACACTACAAGCCTTGGCCTTGCAAACCGAAATTGCTCAGGCGTGTGCCTCAAGCTGGAGGCCCACCCGACCCATTGCCAGGGGAGGCCAGCACCCCACCGTCGAGCCGCCTTTTGAGGTCAGCCCTTCACCGCCGCCTATGTCTTTCCCGCTTGCGGCCCTAGGCCAGGGGTTGGACAGGTTCGTGTACGCCAGAGAAGCCGAGCTGGAGGCAGCCCTCAACAACACACAGCCAGCCTCTGCCTCTGGCCCGGTAGAGCTAGCCTCATCGGCCGCTCCCAACCACCCGGGGAAGCCGAAGCCGCGGCAAGCCTCCCTCCAACTATACCAGCCGATGACATTGAGGCCTTGTTGGTCGAAAGCTTCGCAACTGCTCGGGCCGAATCATCCGACTCAGACGACCCTCAACACCCGCCGTCAGCTCAAGACATTTGCCTCTTTCAAAACGGGCCATGGGGTTCAGTCCATGCCCAGCCTAGGGGAGCGAATAAGGCAGCCTGCGGAACGCCACGTTCTACAGCCGCTTTTTCGCCAACTTGCCCCAATGTAGTCTTCTTCTGCCGCCGAGCGGCTTGCCGACGCCTGCTGGATGCACTGCCCTAGCAGCGAAGAAATGCCGGGCGGACCAGTGCATGCCCCTCGAGTTGCCTTTCAAACATGCTGTGCCTGCCTCCGCAGCCGTTTTAGGCTTACACCTTCCTGACAGCCCCCCCTGTTTTTCCCGCAGGATGGCGATCTTCGAGCAATCCGAGCTCGCAGCCTTCCTGCAAGCTCAGGGGGTGCACGAAGTAGTTAGTAATGGCCTCGCCCTCACTCGAGACGGTGGAGGATCTGGCGTTCGCATACCCAGATCTTAACAGCTTTGACTCCTTTCTGCAGGGCCTCTCAGAGTCAGACCTGAGCGACATGGGCGTGTCCGACGCGCTGCATTCGGTCCAGTCAGCCAGGGCCAGCCTTGCGCTCAGCACATAAGACGCAGGAGGCGCCCCAGCCTTCGCCATCCATCCCGTCCTTATCAGCAGCCCTGACGCCGTCAGCCTCACCATCCTCCTGGATGGAGCATCTGCCGCCGAAGCTTAGTTCCGAAGTCGTCCAAGACCTTGTATCCACCTTTAAAGCCAACTATCCAGGTGAGCTGCTGGACGACGACACAATGCCATCGATACGCCTTCTCAGCCTTGTGCAACACAGCCTTCAGCCCGGGGAGAAGCTAAAATGGATCCCGTGGCAGCTGCGCCTTAGCTCCAAGCAGTATTCAGAAATTATGGAAGCCAAGTCATCTAAGCCCTTGAGAACCGAAGCGCAGCTGCTTGCCTCAGCCATCTACGACGATACTCCAGAGATGGCAGTCTCTCACCTACGCCTTTCAGTGTCCTGGCTGCAGCGTATTCAAACCGTCTTTCGGAACGCCTGGGCCCTCTGCGGTGCAGCCCATCTTAATAACCTTAAAGCCTTTGATAAGCGCGTTGAGCACTTGGCCCTCCCGGACCTAGCCGACTCCTCCCTCCGGGGACCCACCACGCAAGAGCTCCTGGCAGCCGACCGAAAGATTTGGAACACTATTTCGAGCAAGAGGACCCGCCTTAACCCGCAAGCCAATGAGAAAGGGGGCAAGGGCAAGGGTCGAGGTAAAGGCCTTCAGAAGCCAGATAGCCCTTCTAAATCAGAGGCCTGGCCGTCCAATTGGGTGTTGAAAGCCAAGGGCAAGGTGCTCTGTAAGCGTTACCAGCGTAATTTGTGCGCCTTGCCCACCTCTGCGCCATCAGGGGCTGTGGCAAGGAGCATTGCGCCATAGACCACGATAAGAAGCCCTCGTGACTAGGTTCCCATACCGACCCGCAGCCGGAATGTCAGCCTTTCCAGCCTCCCCCTCGACACTCCTGCGAGGAGACAGCACAGCCAGGCTCAGCAGAGCCGACGCCACCCATACAGGGGCCACTCGCCCCACCCGAGCCGCCCCAGCGCAGCGCCCTGCAGCAGCCGATTCAACCGACCCCGGCCCGGACCAGTAACCCGGGGGTCCATCAGGCCGGCGCTTCGCCAACAGGGTTTGGACCTCTATCAGCCAACGCAAGGTCCCCAAGCCCTCCACCACCCCTAGCCTTAAGACCCTAGCGGTTTGCCCTTCCTTTCCCATAGGCGCCTCTTGTCTGCGGCAAGCACAAGATGCCAACGTCTGCGCCATCAACCTCTTATTGGAAGATCCTCAACATTCATCCGACCTCCTTCTTTAGGCCATCTGGGCCAGAGTTGTCCTCGGAGTACTGGCAGACCTTGGGACGCTGGCCCCGCATGTGGAAGAAGCCTGCGCCTTCTTGCAGGCCATCCGCTCAGCCGGCTTCAGCCTTATTCTTTCGGCCACCAAACCACTTTTTCTTTCAATCTGAGCCCTTCTGCGAGGCAGTCCACGATGGAGGCCTGTTCCTGTGCCCAGAACCAGACTCAGACAGAGTCATACTTGCCACTGCTCCCCTGCCCACGTGGCCCTGTGCGGATCCGGGCCTTGCAGCCTTAGAAGCCGCGGGTATGTTCGCGGCGATGCCTCTGTCTACCCGAGCCGCTCAGCCCCTCGCTCTCACATCAGCCTTGCAGACACATGGCGATCTCGTCAAAAATAGAGCCCCCATTTGCGACGGTGCAGGCAACGCCAGTTCAGCCGATTGGAGCCATCCTCAGCCGAGCCCCTCAGCTATGCAAGATATCATGCAAGCTTGGTTGAAGTGGGCCTCCCAGCGGGACATCCCCAAGCGCATCTTCGCCCACCTTTCACAGAGCAAGCCGGAGCACCCTCTACCTGAGGAAGACCAGTTTCAGCTTATCAGAATAGCCTGCGAGGTCATGGATTGGGACTATGACTCCATGATCCAAGCCGCCGATGGCCAGCCGTTCCGCCTTAATCTCATGCAGGCCTTTGCGGATCTCCTGGACGATCCGGACAAAAACCTCCCAGCCCTGCTTCGAGTGGGGGTGCACACAGGGGTCTTCGGGGAAATCGAGCCCTCGGGGCTCTGGCCCCTCACCAAGATCCAACCTCTATCCGCCTTTGGCCTTGATGCGAAGGCAACTGGAAGCCCGCCCCAGACACAGTTCGCAATCTCCTAGCCGACGAGGAGGCGGCAGGCTGGATCAAGCCAGTACCAGTCGGCCTGGAGGAAGCCAAGCGCATTTGGCCCAAGGGCATAGCCGTAGGGAAGCTGAGCCTTGTCAAGGCCGAAAATCGGGACCCAAGACTCGTCCTGGACAGCACCGTATGCCAAGTTAACCCCATGTGCCGCATTCCAGAAGCGGTGGCCATGCCTACAGTCAATGATGTCCGAGCCACGTTCATGCCTTCAGACCCGCGGGGTGCCTTCCTTGCGGCCAGCGTGGACATCAAGGCAGCCCACAAACGGGTCAAAGTCCATAGCTCCGAGCAAGGCCTTCTCCTCTTCATGTTCGAGAAGATTCTCTACAGATATGTTGTCTGCCACTTCGGAGCCAAGTTTTCAGCCTACTGGTGGCAGCGCGTCGGAGGCCTTATCACACGCATAGCGCACCATGCCCTAGCCTTCGCGCCGCATAAAGCCTGGCTTTACGTAGATGATTTGCTGTCAGCCTTACTCCGAGCCTTCGCGCCAGAACTTCTCTTCCTGCTCATAGCCACCTTGTCCAGCCTCGCCGCCCCGATCAGCTGGAAAAAGGCTTCAGTCGGGGACAGCCTCGTGTGGTGCGGCTGGCATTTCAACTTTCGCCTGGAGACTGTTGACCTTTGCGAGGCCAAAAGATCCAAGCTGTGCGCGCAGATCAAAGCCCTGCTCTCACGAAAGAAGGTCCCTCGGAAAGACCTTGAAGCATGCATCGGCCTACTCATGTGGGCAACAGCCATAAGCAAAGTCCTTAGAGCCCACGTAGCCCCGCTATACAGCGTCCTGAACAGCCCGCCGGGAAGCAACTGCTCGATAGCCTCCCGCATGTGGCCTGCCTTCCTGCACAGCCTTGACTCCAGAGCGGTGATCTGCAGATTGATCCCAGGAGTCAATCTGCCCCTCAAAGCACGCATTATAGAGGTCGGCAGCCGACCGGTTCACTGCAAGGCCGACCTTCCGCCCCAGCCGAAATCCTCACGAGTCACTTGGGTCCGTATTTCGGACCCCTCTTGCCCGGAAATCAAGCTCACCAACACAGCTCAGGACAGCCTTCGCTGGCTCTTGCCGCGGATTGAAGCCATCCCAACCACCAGCCTTTCCCTCCCGCCACTGGTGCTTTGCCTTGGCAGAGCGGATGCGCTGGCCGAGGGAGACAGAGTCGGCATCGGTGGATGGATCACCACCAAGCAAAGCATGGCGTGGTTTGCCGAAGCCTGGAGCATGGAAGAGATCCGAAATACCTGGCCCTTTCTCACGAAGGACGCCCAGCGTTACATAGCCTGCTTTGAGACGCTTGCACAGTTAGCCTTAGCCATGACTGCCAGGGAGCGGCACGCATTCTCACAGTTCTCTGTCTGCTGGCCTTCGCAGAGCGACAACACCCCTTCCGAAGCCGGGATCAATAAGCTGTTCACCACGAGCTGGCCGCTTTCCCAGTTCCTTCAGCTAATAGCCTCTTGGTCATCCTGCCATGGAGTTGACCTTCAGGTGTCCCACGTGGCAGGGGCCCATAATCAAGGGGCCGACGACCTCAGCCGCGGTCATCTTCAGGCCTTCAGCCACAGACCGCAGGAGCGTGTCAGGATCAGCCTTCATCGTTTAGCCTCAGCAGCCTCGCAAGCGCATTGGTCCGGAGCTCCGGACTCGGCATGCCCACTCTTGCCCAGATCCGACTGACACAGTCGGCAGTGACACCAGCTGCTCCGCCGTCAGCCGAAAAAAGTCCGCTGCCCGCTTTGCTCCCATGCTTTTCGGCCATTCTCGCCATGCCTAGAGTTATGCCTTGCCCAGGTCCATGTCCACCGCCCGCGGTGGGGGATACTTGCCTGCGGCCTTACCGGTTGGATCTGTCCCTGAAGTGGGGGAGTTTATGCCTCGGCTAGCCTTTATGCCTTGGCACCTCCAGGCTAGCCGCGAAGCCTTACAGATCCAATACGGTACAAAAACTCATGCAAGTGGTAGAGCAGTGCAAGCCTTTCTAGAACGTTTCGTGTTTTTGTTCACGTATGTTTTTGCTTGTGTTTTACGTAACCTGCACCCAGGAAGGAAGGAAGGAGTTTGTAGTTTTGAGGAGTAGGTTTTGTGAAACATTTTTCCTATTTTCTCTTCTGATTTTCCAGTCATGTAAGTTTGCCGCCATTGCATGTGTGTGCTGAGTATGTCGTATCGCAGGCGCTTTGTTTCAAGGGTGAAAACATTCATGGTAGCGGAGCACTAGCCGACCAGTGCTTCTCACGTCGGGTTTCTTGTTGGTTCTCTGTTCAGGGGCCAGCGTGCGGAGACCTGTCTTTGACTTTGGTGTTTTCCTTTCTTCGGCGAAGTTTAGCTGGGTAGCTCGTAGCAGCCACGGCAGCTCCCTTCGTGCTTGCGTGGGACAAGGACCCTCTGCTTAGCCAGGCTAAAGCCCGCTTCCTGCATCTGCTTCGGTTGCAGCTTGCCACTAAAGTGCGAACTCCGAGTCTGAGCGTCTTCTCTTTCCGAAAGAGGCAAACAGCTTATCTTGCAAGGCGCAAAGCCACTGTTGAGGCCGTGACTTCCTTGTCTCAGGTCACTAGATTGGCTAATCGTGTGTTGAGTGATCAGCAGTGCATCCGCTTCAACAACTGGGCAGCAGGGAGGCTTTGCCCTTGGGTTTGTTGTAGGTAGGAACGTCTTCAAGCGCCGGCTTAAGAGAGCTACGCATTGCATTGACCTTGACTGATCAGCCTTTGTGATCCTGTCTTGATTTTACGAGCCCAATACCACACTGTTGCAGAAATGTCTGCACATGGAAGTCCGGTGTCACAGCCACCGAATGTGCCGTTGGATGATGATGATGACGACCTTAGAGATCCGCAGGTTGCTTCGTCTTCGCAGGTGCCAGGGTTCCCTGCAAGTCCCCTCCCACAGGCTCCAGGGCCGCAGCTTGCCGACATGCAGGCTATGCAGACGATGGTGATGTCGCTTGCTCAGACTGCGCAACAGACTCTGATGATGGTTTCTCAGCAGAGCGCAGCAGCCAACAAGCCATCTCCTGACAATAGTGGGGGTTTTACTTTAGCCAACAAGGTTCTCAAGTATCCCGAGCCGTTTGGCACTGAGAATGCCGATCAGGATGCGCTGGGCTGGCTAGCCTGGTCCACCAGTTTCCGTAACTGGGTTACTTTTGCAGAGCCTGCTTATGAGAGCGATCTGGCAGAAGTAGAGCAGCGCCTGACTGAAGTGCCTCACATTGCCAACATGCCCCCTGTGTGTCTTGAGAGGGCGCGGAAGCTGTATGTGATTTTAGGTTCTGTCTTGAAGGGAAGGCCGCTTGCAATACACCACGGCATTGAAGACCGCAATGGGTTCGAATGCTGGCGGCAGTTGACCTGTCAATTTAGCCCGAGGACGCGTTCCAGGTCGCTCGCGCTGCTGAGTGCAGTGATGGGGCTTCCAGCATTCACACGTGACCGTACGATGTGTGAGCAACTCAGCAGCTTCGAGCGGTTGATCGCCGAGTATGAAAAGGCCTCCGGCAATGCGCTTCCTGGTGATGTCAAGCTGTCAGTTGTGCTTAGAGCCATCCCCAAAGCCCTGCAATCCCACGTGCGCTTGAGAATGGACGCTTCTACGAGTTATGAGGACGTAAAGAACCTTGTGCTGTCATACGAAGTAAGTACCACGAACTGGAGTGCCGCGCGAGTGCAGCAGGAGCTCGGCCTTGTTAGTCCCAATAAGGGCAGTGTTTCCATGGAAGTGGATCAAGATGGTTCCGTGGCCCAAATCAAGGGTCAGGAGAAGGGAAAAGGCAAGAAAGGGAAGGAAAAAGGGAAAGGCAAAGGTGATAAGGGAAAATCTAAGGATACTCCCAGCCCTAAGGGTAAGCCCAAAGCCAAACCTAAGGCCTCCCCCGATGCCGAATGCCATTATTGCCACAAGAAAGGGCACTACAAGAGGGATTGCCGCAAGTACAAGGCTGACCTTGCGTCCGGCAAGGTACGTGCAATCACTGAGGATGATGCTGCTACTGGCGATCAAGGATCACCGTCGCCCAAGGCAGCCGCCAAAGCAGCTGTGAAGCGCATCATGTTTGACATTCGTGCTGTGCCTGGCGATGCCGCCTCCCACTCAAGTGTCAGAGCGATTCGTTGTGCAGTTTCGGATAAGCCATGCCAGTCAGATCCGTTTGCAGTTTCGAATGAGCCGTGCCAGTCAGATCCGTTTGCGGTTTCGGATGAGCCGTGCCAGTCAGATCCTTGTGCAGTTTCGGATGAGCCGTGCCAGTCAGATCCTCGTGCAGTTTCGGATGAGCCGTGCCAGTCAGATCTGTCCGTAGGCCGCAATGATCACACCAGCTGTCCTGCAGAGTTCGACATAGCTAGCAGTGATCACGATAGCGATTGGGATCTCAGCCCTGTTTCGTCACCCATGCGTGTAGCTGCGGTCAGCCGTCACAGCTATGAACAGCAGTTGGAAATCTGTGTTGACACAGCCGCCGATGAGTCATGCCTGCCTCTTGACTTCGTGTGTGTTGGGTCCCATGCGTCAGGTGAGCCGCCGCTTGTTGATTGCCAGGGCAACACGATTCATACCAAGGGGAGTCGCCTGGCCACTTTGGAGGCTTCTGGGGTCGAGCTGAAGGAGCGCTGGGTTGTGTCGCCGGTGTCTCAGCCAATCCTAGCCACGGGCAAATTGCTCAAGCAGGGCTGGAGGTTTCTTGACTTCGATGATCTTGGAATGTGCCTGACCAGCCCGTGTCATGGAGCGCGGATTCCTGTGGGTTTCAGTAACAACACGCTTGTGTGCAAGGGCGTTATACGCTCGATCCATGAGCCACCGCCCGCTGAAGTTCGTGCTATCAAGGTGCGCTTGACAGGCTTGCTCGACCGCCTTATTCGCAGCACAGACTTCTTTCAGGAGATTGCCCCAGGTGTGCATGCCACGAGCCTTACCTCGAAGCATCTTGTTGATCTGAGCCTGTATCTCCCTTACGAGGGTCTCGCCTACCGCACCACCTTGCTCAAGATAGATGGGGATTGGGTTCTTTCCGAGCTTTCCTCTTCAATCGCCGACCTTGGCGAAGACCTGACCACTCAGGTTGCAGATCAGGAGGTGGAGATGATCGTGTTCGGCCACCTGGAGCCGCTGGCACCCAGTGACCTTGGTTTCGCGACTGACGTGCCAATTCTTGATGCGCCGGCGCCTGCGCCTCCAGAGTCTTCAGCAGATCCTGTGTTTGAGAATTTCTTCGGTGAGGCGGTACAGGAGGCAGATGTTGAGCTAGGCGGCGGGGCTGATGCTGAGTCGGCCGGCGGGGCTGCAGTTGAAGCAGCCGGCGGGGGCGATGCACGCGATGGTGCCCTTGATGATGCTGTGATGCAAGGGGCACTCGCTGATGAACGCGAAGCACAGCCCGACAAGATTGTCGTTGATGATGTTGAGCTGAGTCTTGATAGCACCTTGTCGGTGCTCCGCCGTGCGTGCCAAAGCCTTGGTGTTGGGAAATCAGGTTCAAAGGCTGTGGTATTCCGTAGGTTGTGCAACCAGCTTGACCGCCTTAAGCTGATCGAGGCTAGTCGTGCTGCTGAAGTTCCGAATGCACCGGTGCCCAATGTGCCGTCGGCTCCGAAGGAGCCCACACCAGAGCAACGACGGGCCCACGAGGCTGTGCATGCACCATATGAGCCCTGGTGCCAACACTGCGTGGCCTTTAAAGCCAGAGACGACATGCACAAGCCTGCTAACGCCGACCGCAAATTCCCTGTGATATCCTTCGATTATGGGTTCAGCGGCCGATCGGAGGAGGATGGCCCTCACAACAAGTTAGCCTTTCTGTGTCTGCACGATTCGGAGAGCGGGTGGCGAGAAGCCATCCCGGTGCCAGGCAAAGCAGGCGTGCATGATGGGATCAATGTCATCAGCTATCTTGCTGCTGAGATTTGCAGGCTGCATAGCATGCTTGGCTACTCCAAGGTTGTGCTTCAATGCGATCCTGAGCCCACATGCCTCAAACTACGTAATGAGGTGAGGCGCATGCGGCTACAGCTGGGTTTGCAAACTGATGTGCAGCAGTCACCTGAAGAAAGTCATCAATCCAACGGAGGTGCCGAGGTTGCAGTACAAATGCTGCGGCAACAGTGCAACACTCTGCTCTCGATGTACGAAGCAGAGACCAAGCTTCAAGTTGCAACGGCCCACGCTCTTCACCCGTGGTGCCTTCGGCATGCTTCTTGGATCCTGAACAGATTTGTGCTGCGACCCGGAGGGCTCACTCCTTTCGAGATCATACATGGTCGTCCTTACAAGGGCGAGGTGATACCGTTTGGCGAAACCGTGATGGGATTGGTCTCTCCCGGGCCCAAGGGCAAACCTCGGTTCATCCAAGCCATCATGCTTGGAAAGTGCACACCGAATGATGAGTTCATCTTGTGCTCTGGAGCAGGCAAGCTCATGCTGGCTCGCACCCGGCTCGCCACTGGCTTTTCTCCAGCCTTGCACGACTGTGTCCGTGATCCTCCTTGGCGCCACCCCGGGTTTGTAGCGGGTTCCTTAGGTAGGTCCCGAGCCCAACGCAAGCCGAAGGTCATTCCGGCTGGTGGTGACGCAAGGTTGGTAGTTGAGGATCAGCTTGGTGGGGTTTCCGACTTGCTAGGTGAGCTTGCGCCTGTGCCTGAAGGTTCCGGAGAGATCCCTGAGGATGCGCGTGATTAAAACAGCCCTTCTCAAGAGGCCGCTTCTGATCCTGAGAGTTCTTCGCAGATGAGTGAGGATGACCCTGATGGTCACCGTTCCGGTGAGGCTGCTGCTCCCGACCCTGACAGCAGTACCGCTGTGAGTCTCCCGTTGCAGCCTGGTGCTCCCGTTGAACCGCCGGCCGTTACAGCAAGTGATCCTTTGTTGCAAAGTAGTGCCAGCTCTGCTGGGCCTATGCCAGTTGACCCTGTCAGCTCAGTCGCGAGGGAACGCCCCAGGCCGGCAGGCGAGGAAGGCGCTCCAGGTCCTGAGCCCAGGCGTGCAAGGATTGCAGCCGCAACTGTGTGCGGAGTTGAGTACCACCACGCCGATGAGGATCCTGACCTTGCATTCTCCCCGGCGGACATCGAAAGCATCAATGAGCTTGACGGTCTGTGTTCAGATGATGAAGACGAGGAGGGTGAGCAAGGCCTTGTCCCTCCTGATGAGCTTTATCGGCCCTTCTCATCACATGAGCCTTCCTTGAGCCCTGAGGTCGATGCTCTGTGTGATCATCACGAGATAGCTCGGCTTAAGGCTATGGGTGTGATTTACCAGCCTGAATCAGGCAGTGACAACTGCAAGTCATTGACTGTTAAGTTCGTTCGCAGCTGGCGACCGAAAACACATCCGCTCACTGAGGCCCCTGTCTGGCTCAGGAGATCTCGGTTAGTGGCCCGAGAATTCCGGTTCAGAGATCCCCTCAGGGAGGGGTTATACAGCCCTGCATCCCAAACCGTGCTACTCAAGTTGCTGCCAGGCTTGTGTATGTCTCGCAAAGGATATGCTCTGTTGTCCTGTGACATATCTGACGCTTACTTAACTTGCGAGCAGCCATGCCCGACCGTGGTAACACTCCACGGCACCACGTACCGCTTGGCATTTATGCTACCGGGGCAACGAGACGGGTCAGCGGTTTGGTTTGCCACCTTCGCCAAGTATCTGGTTTCGGAGGGCGGAGTTTCGTTGTGGCCTGGATGCGAGGCGCTGTTTGCTCTGCGTAACCACTCCGGCGGAGGACTCCTCCATGTAGACGACTTGTTGGGGTCAGGTGAATATGCTGAGCTGCAAAGACTTGCGCAGATCATAGAGTCAAAGTATAAGTGCACTCTTGAGTGGCTTGTTCGCGAAGGCGACAGCTTGCACTTCTTGAAGCGCAAACACACTTTGGCCCGCCAGGATCTCCTCTGCATCCAGAAGGCTGACAAGCACATCATGAAACTTGTTGAGCTTTTGCAGCTTGAGCCGAAGCCCACCCCGTTGCCTCTGCAAACGCTTGACTTGTCCAGGTCAGACCCTCTTCCAGAGGACCAGATGTCGATCTACAGATCGTGCATCGGGATACTGATGTATATCTCTGCAGACACTGCCGACATGCAACATTCCATTCGAATGCTCTCCCAGCACCTTGCATGCCCAACCGAGGCTTGCATGAAGGCCCTCAAACACCTGGTTAGATATGCCAAGTCAGCCAGCGGGCTTTGCCTTGGGTTGGAACGCACGCATGCAGGAAATGGCACTAGAGTTCAGTGTGACATCCCTTCTGGTCGAGGGTGGTGCCTTCAGTTGCAGGCATTGCCCCACACGCCAAGGGTACACTGATTGAGTCTGCGCAGCCAACAGGGGATCAGCTGAGCTTGCTTTTTCCCTTTGTCTCGCTGCCGGTGCGTGTGTGCGTGTTTGGGTCGGCCACCCCGCACCCCCAGCCCTTTCTCCGAGCCAGTGCCCCCAGCTTAGTACCCACGTGAGGGATCACAGGGGAAGAGCTTCTGTTCCTGAGAAGTGGGCTGTCTTGCCAAGTGCCCAAATCCAACCCAAGCCGACCAGCTTGGGGGGGCGGGCCCATGGAGGTTCGGGTGGCACTTTTCCCTGCTTGGATTGAGGGGCTCGGAGCGTCGAACTCTTGCCGGATCTCCCCGATGACGAAAACGGAGGGGAGAAGAGATGGCGTGAGGGAACTTTTCCGTTCGGCCGGAGTGCACCCTGGGCCACTCACTCACTCACTCAGTTCAGTGTGGCGCCGATGTGCTGGAGCTGTACACAGACTCAGACTGGGCTTCAGATCACGCCACACGCCGTAGCGCGAGTGCCGGTGCTTTGTACATGAATGGGAATGCAATCTATACGGCGAGCCGCACACAGCGGGTCGTAGCTATGTCAAGCTGCGAGTCAGAGCTCAATGCCCTTGTGTCCTTTGCAGTGTATGTGAAACAAGCCCTTCGGTTCGTTGATGGAGTCACTCCCGAATGCCATGCCTTCAGCGACTCCTCCTCCGCTCGTGCGGTTGTGAACAAGCAAGGGCTTTCCAAGCTCAAACACGTTGAGATCAGATTGCTATGGGTTCAACAGGCCTTGAAGGATGGTGCTTTCAAGCTCCACCCGGTCGGCACTCTTGACAACTCTTCGGACCTGATGACAAAAGCGCTTAAGCGTGAGCGGATGCTGTATTTGATGTATCTCTTGAACATCAGGGACGGCGATGCTCAGTTCAATCGTGTCGGCGAGGCCCAGGCTGTCGCGCGTGACAACAATCTGTCCTTGAAGCTCGCAGTCAAAGCAGTGAAGGCATTCAAGGGACCACAGCAACGGGTGCATGCGCTCCTGCAAGCGCTGACCTTCATGTCCTTGATTGATGCCAACCAGGCATGCATGCTTGACTCCGTGAGCCATCCGCATGTGCTTGAAAGCGCCTTGAGCGGTTGCGGCCTCATCCTTGTGTGCGCCGGATGCTTTACAGTGCTATGCATGAGCCTGCAGGGCTGCCAAGCCGAGATTGCAGATGAGCTCCCCGAGCCCTGGGTTGTATGGTTCACCCTAATCATAGGACTCTTCATAGGTCTAGGGTTTTGGTTTGTGTTGCTAGGTGCCGAGCCGCAGCCACAGATGCCTTGTGAACCCGACGACGCCACCACACCTGCTTGTGACGACGACGCGTCGACCTTGAGCGATGACATTCCTGCAGAAGGTGAACCTGCGCCAACGCCTGATGTGACCAGAGCATCTTCTGATGAGCCACTGTCAGAACCGACGGAAAGTGGTGATGGCGCAGGCGACGGCAACAGCCACCCTGCTTCACCCATTGCCCATGATCCGATCGTCGAGCCCGAGAATCACGCCTTGGCAGCAGTGCCGATCACAGTTGTTGATCCTCCTGGATTCCCTGCTGCTGTCGATCAGCTGCTTGTGTATCATGCGCCGATCTCTGGGCGCAGATGGCATGTGTTCCGAGGGTGTTGGGGTTTGAGCAGAGCTGCTGTCATTGCTGAGGAAGAGCTTGGTGTGCTTTTGCGACGTGATCCCGGAACCACGATGTGCTTGATCTGCATGAACCGAGTTCGCAATGACTTGCGATTCCCAATGCTTCGGATTACCGATGGAGCCGACGACCCACACCGTGAACACCCCGAACCTGAGCCTTTCCAGTAGTTTGTGGTTTAGTCCCTTCTTGTAAAGCAAGCTTGGGACTATCCTTGAGTTGCGACTTCAATGCACTTGTGAGGTTATCCAATGCTTTGGACGTCCATGTTACCAGCCATTTGGGAAGTCAGACCCACTTGGGCTGAAGAAGCCGATCTTGCTTTGCGCTATAGGCGATTGCGTGTTTCGACTTGGTGACTTGCGGATGTCACCGTTTTGCGAACTTGCTGCCCTAATCCTTGATGTCTTGAGCTAGCCAGCAGCGCTAGATTTTGGCATTACTCTTGAGAATGGCTGTTGGGTCTTTCTTGAAAGGGGCATCGGCCCTCTTACGCAGTTGAGCGCTGCTCCTGCTGCACAAGTGAGGTCCGAGGTCCGTAGCAGGCAGTGAAGTTTCACACCCGAGGCCCAGGACTGCCGTACGTCCGCGCTCGGCAAGAGACGAACAGCAAAGTGCGGTGCGACTTCTCGGCATGTGCATGGCGGCTTGTATAGGTTCCTTCTTCTTGAAACTCGTTTGTCGAACATTTCGAGTTTTCCACTGTTGGCTTGTAAGCTCAGTGCTTTGTCGCAGTGACGAACACAAACAAATGCAGCACGAGGTCTTGAGGACTCATGTGCATTTGGGCGGGGTGCTTGTGTTTTACGTAACCTGCACCCAGGAAGGAAGGAAGGAGTTTGTAGTTTTGAGGAGTAGGTTTTGTGAAACATTTTTCCTATTCTCTCTTTTGATTTTCCAGTCATGTAAGTTTGCCGCCATTGCATGTGTGCTGAGTATATGTCGTATCGCAGGCGCTTTGTTTCAAGGGTGAAAACATTCAGTTTTAGAAGGCATGTGAATCTATAGCACATCGCAGCACTGGCTCTAGCACTTGAGTCTTCTCGAAAAAACCCGCCCGCCCACACCTAGGTGCCAGCCTTCGGCCCTGGCCTCAGCCTTCTTCTAGCCTCGCGCTGCAGTCCCACTCAGCCTTGCCGTCTCTCAGTCCAGCCTTTGCCTCACGTGGCCTCCGCGAGGCCACTTTCTCGCACAAGTCGAGAGTGCTCCTTAGCCACGAAGCGCCTGACACAGGTCCTTTCGTCTCGCCTTGGCTGAGCCTTTTTCAGCTTTTGCCTCAGCACAACCCTAGGCCCTGCCCCTTTCGGTTACCCGCCCTAACCCGCTGCGCCCAGGTACCTTCTTCTTCCTCTTCGACGAGGCCTTCTGAAGCATATGTAACCCTTTTCTTCTCACCAAAGTCTCACGGAGCGCCACTCTTGCCCGCCATGGGCAAGCTGCTTTGCCCTCGAGCCTAAAATTGCCGGTGCTATCGCCTATCGTTAGCCCTCAGCGTTACATTTCTCAGCCTCTGAGATTTTGCCCCTCGGCTCTCCAGGAGCCTTCGTAGTGACCTTCCAGGAAGTTTCACAGACTTCTCACGAAGACTAGTTTGGGGGAGTTTATGCCTCGGCTAGCCTTTATGCCTTGGCACCTCCAGGCTAGCCGCAAAGCCTTACAGATCCAATACGGTACAAAAGACTCATGCAAGTGGTAGAGCAGTGCAAGCCTTTCTAGAACTTGAAGGTCTTGTCACGGAAGCCACAGGAGTCCTTTCCCTGCACGAGCTTAATCAGAAAGCCCTGCAAACTGCGTGTAGTGTTATTCCTCACCATAAGCCCCGACCAAGCGAAGCTTCGGCTGCCTTGCATGTGGTGGTGAAGCCACACATCCAGGCCATGTGGGCTGCGCATAGGCGTCTTGCAGAGAGGATTGAGGGTACCATGTTTCGCAAGATCTTTGAGGCCTTTCGAAGATTCCGAGAGTTTTCCAAGCAGAGTCGACAGTTGCGAGCCAGCTGTAGGAATGCCCGAAGAGCCAGGCTCCAAAGGTCTATAGATGAGGCACAGGTTGCGGCTGACCGTCAGGACATGAGCACTATCTATAGGATCATTAAGACTATTGCCCCGAAAACCAAAAGGGTTGCTGTCAACATCCGATCGGAAGATGGCCACCTCTTGTCAGTCAGTGCGCAATTTGAGTCCATCATGGACTACTTTGCCAGAGCCTATGACAGCCCGGATAGACCTGCACCTTACGGTTGCTGAAGTTAAAGAGGCTATAGGGAGTCGTAAGCTTGGCAAATCGGTCCCTGATGGCAGCATACCTGCAAAACTATGGCGCATGTGCCCAGATGCCTTTGCGGAATTTTTGGTGCATCGCCTACGGCATGAGGACCCGAGGGAAGCCACGTACCCCCCTGAAGTGTCTGAATGCCAGCTTTCACTTTTACCCAAACCCAACAAGAACACCAGGCTTCCCAAAGACCTCAGACCCTTAGGAATCCAAGATCCTAGCGCTAAGGTTTTTGCTACGGTGCTTAAACAAAGGGTCCTGGAACAGGCGTTACCAGTCCTGCAACAATGCCAACAGTATGCCTATAGTCAGGGCAAGGCCATTGACCAAGCAATCCTCCGGGTAGGGGAGCACTGTAGGGCGACGCGCCAATTCTTGCTGGATGGCACCCTAAGCGTGCACAACAAACGTGCTGGGAAGACACCATCATCATGCTACGGTGGGGATATGCTTAGTCTGGACCTCAGTAAAGCTTTTGACTGTGTCCCACGCGGGGCGTTGATGCAAGCATTGCAATTCGCGGGAGTCGATGCTGTTTTGCAGGCAGCTATCCTAGAAGTGCATGAAAAGTGTCGCTACCACATTAAACACGGTCGTTACGTCGGCTCCATACGCATGAAGCGCGGCATACGCCAAGGCTGCGCACTGTCGCCGTGTCTTTATAGCATCTTCTCGGCATGGTTGCACCACCAAACTGCCACTCGAACAAGTGCAGAGTGGGCACAGGCCTGCACCACCTTATTTGCGGCTGACACCCACTTGCATTGGAGGATCACCAAAGTTGAGGACCTTGACTTCTGTTGTCACTGCATCAGAGAAACCTTTGCTGTGTTCAGGGAAGCGGGGATGCTGGTAAACTCTAGCAAATCGGTGATCGTCCTGGCGCTCAAGGGCAATGCTGCCAAGGTGTGGTTGCGTCAGCATCAGCAGGTGAATGCTAATGGCAAGTGGATTAGTGTAGGAACCCCTCACGCACCAGCTGTATCTTGGCGTAATCGCATCCTACCATGGCTTCGAGATGCAAACTTTTCAGCATCGCCTGCAGATGGCAAGATCCAACAAGCATCGCCTGTTGAAAATCCTGCATGCAGCTGGACTGTCGCTGAAGTATCGAGTTCGGCTTTACACAGCCTGCATCCGCAGCTCCTTGCTGTACGGCCTTCACGCGGTCGGAGTTACACAGCCGGTGCTTCAAAAGCTTGATCAGGCAGACTCTAGGTTCCTGCGTGCAATCGCCAAGGCGCCAAGCCATCTCACGCATGAAAGTACCTCTGCCTTGAGATCCCGCCTCAAAATACAGTCCCCGGTGGATGCGCTGATCAAGCTTGTGCAGGGCCGCGCTCGCAACTGCACAGAGTCTGCAAGTTGCCTTTTCTTCTCGCAGCAGGCCACACTGATGCGCCAAATTGTGCAGGATGAAGTTCCCTCTGGCGTAGGATTGGCCAGGGTTGCAGACTCTCATGCGCATGACATTGTAGGCTGTGAGGAATGCGGGCAGTACTTCACTGGTAGGAGGCATTTGCTCTCGCATATGGCACGCAAGCATCCTGAATGTCTTGTTCCGCAGGCCCTACCTAAGGCCAGGGAGTACACTAGACACACAGTCGATGGTATGCCACAATGTTGTCACTGCAGCAAAAGTTTTACGAGGGTGGAAGGCCTTAAAAAGCACCTCAGACAAGCCTGCCCTGTCTTGCATGGCAAGTCAACCAAAGGCGTTGCAGCCGGTCGGAGCCCAGCTGCCCCCTCAGTGGGTGTGGCACAGGAACCCACACTCCGGGAGACGTCCTGTGAAGGGCGGACGTCTCCTGAGGGGGCAGAACCGCAGTACCCAGATGTGGATAATGTCGACGGTAGCACCCCGCATCTTGGACATATCCGGAGTTCTGTAGGACCTACCCCGATAATCCCCACACCGCAAGGGACAAGAGTGCTGTTTGAAGAACCACAATATCGGGCTGCGCTGCGAGCCAACTGGCGACAGATGGTCCGCGGAGGCGAGTACAGCAAAAGCCTTTGCACGTACTGCGCGCTCTGTGGTCAATATGTTAACATGATTGGCCCTGGATTGAAGCAACATCTCAGACTTGCCCATGCGCATGCATACGCCGCTCATCGGGCTGAAGCAGCCAGTCGTTGCAGTGGTCTCGGCTTGCCCGCCGAAAGCCCGTGCCGCTTTTGTGCCGCCACCTGCAAAGACCCCCGTCAGCATATTAAACGCTGCCCAGTTGTGTTCCAGGCGTCGTTCACAAACCTTGTACTCCTGTCCCTTGATGTACCTGCTCCAGGACATGGACGTGGAGCCGGCGGATCGAGCTGCCTTGGCCCAGACGGAGTTCCAGGATGTCTTCGGGGCCAGTGCGAAGAGGGCTCAGAAGCCACCCCAGGGGGAGGACGAGAACAAGGAAGGCAGCCAGCCGGAGGAGCGTCGCTCGAAATACTCGAGGAACGAAGAAAAGGGCGGCAAAGGACCCTCGTGGAGCTCGGGGGCTGGAGGCTGGAAAAGCCGCAGTCAGGGCTGGAACTCCGGCTCGCAGAAGAGCTGGGGCAGCGAGCAGAGCGGAGCCCCGGATGCCCAGACCCAGCAGTTGATCCAGGGCACGAGCAGGAACTCGGCATGATCCGGGCGGAGACCGGTTACATGCTTTTCCTGGACACCCCGGCCCACCACGACCTGTCGTTTCTTCCTCGCCTACAAGAGATCGGCGCGGAGTGGACGGAGCAGTGTGCGGCGGGCACGGTGAAGAGCCCCCTCAAGGTGCTGCTGATGATGGCGGTGGCCAAGGAGCTTCAGACGAGGCTGGAGACTTTCCGGGACGACCCGGACCGCATAGAGCGAGCCATGACGACCGGCTGGATCAGCGAGGGAGCTACACAGCTGGACCCGGTGTGGCACTACTACGTCTGGAACCCGAAGGAGAAGAAGCAGGAGAGGTCGAACCAACAACCGGTTCCCACCTCCACTCTGCTGGCCTCCCTGGACATCCTCTTCAAGAATGTAGCCTCACCGGGAGTCCTCCAACGATTCCGGAGCACCAGGGGCCTGGACGAGAACTACGAGGATGCGGAAGTGGTACCGTTCCTACTTTGGATCGGTCTGAGAAGCAACCCGGCCCACCTCTGCTACCAAGTCTTCCAGCAGCTATCCGGGAAGGCGGTGACGAAGTTACTGGGACTTCGAGTGCGACCGGAGAGGGTGGCCCGACAACCAGCGGCCAAGAAGGTGGAGGAATGCTTCAAAGCGGTGAGCTACTGCGACTGGAAGGATCGCAAGTGATGCTTTCTGCGACTGGCCGCGCAGTGTCAGAGGGAGCACTGCGCGGAGCCGGGTTTGGGGTAGCCCGGCTTATATCCCAGGCCGACTGCTTAGCATGCCGCATGCCAGATTGCAAAACACCAGAAACTACTGCTATCTACATGCATGCTTGCAGGCTGTCTACTGGAGTGGAGACCTCACTGCACAAGCTGAGCTTTGCTATGGCAGGCTGAAGGCTGGCATCGCTTTGCTAAAACAACCCAAAAAACTGCAGGTCACCACATGCGTCCTGCTCCGAGCGGCACTAGTGGGCTGGGCTAACCCACTGGCACAGCATGATGCAGGTGAATATCTTCGCTTCTTGCTGGAGCAGTTGCAGCCGCAGGCCTACTCAGGCGAATGGCAAGCGCGTCTCTCTTACCCCTCACTCGAGTGGATGGAGGTCGGCTCACGACGCCAGTGATCATGCACCCGCAAGGCGGGACCCTGGCAGATCTCATTGCGCATTGGCATGTGCAGTATGCAGTGCATGCACTAGTGCAGCACTCTGGGGTCCTAGTCATTAGAATCGTGCGATACGGGTTCCATGCTGCTGCAGTCAAAAACTACAGTCGCATCTACATTGAACCTGGCGAGGCTGTGGCCGTTCCCATCTTTACCGCAGCTGACAGCACAGATGTTCGTCACGAGTCCTTCCGAGTCGGGTTTGTAATATTTCATGTTGGGGATAGGGTGGATAGCGGTCATTACCAGGCTGCCCTTGCCAAGCCCGATGAAACTGATCCCAACACCTGGCACTATTGGATTTGTGACGATAATAGGCCCCCACGTCGAGCTACCCCTAGGGATATAGGCATACTTCACAGGAATGCCTATGTCGTTGGACTCGTGCGAGCTAATTAAGGGTGGTGGCCCAAGCCAGCGGTGACATGAGCGCTTAGTGAACTGTACAGGCCTCGAAGGTCAAGCTTGGGGGTACTCACCGTTGTCGCACTGGCTTCTGCCGCCGGGCAGCCCTCTGAGCTGCAGAATAATAGTTCGCACAGTTGCCCGCCACAGCGTGGGTCGCCACAGCACAGCGTCATTCAAGATGTGCTGCAAACTCACTCCATGCTCTCCAAGTCGTCATTTCATGTATGCAAGTGAATTCATGTTTTCTTCTGCGACCTCATGTTCATGCCGTTCTTAGTCCGAAGGCTTGCTGTCTTGCAGCTTGGCTCCTGCTTAGAGAAACGGCGCCTCGGCCTGGCACTTCTGCCTGCGTGCCCCTGTGCTCGGGATACGGCCTAGGTTCTCTGCGCTTATGTTGCTCTGCTCTGAACTGCGCATGTGTCCTGCTCGCCGCTGCACAGCCTTCCAAAGTTCCGGTTGGACTGTAGTTAGGTCTCTGACGGTTCTCACCAGGGCTGGTCCAGCTGGCACTTTCTGTGAGCTCTAGATAGCTGCTGATGCATTGTTGCTGTTTGGAGGTTGTAGACATCACAGGATTTCGCGCTATGCCGCCTGAAACGCCAGCACAGGACCTGACTGTCAAGGCCATTCCGTTTCCGCTGGATGTGTACACGGTTGCACTCGAGGAGTTTCTGTTGGTTGAGGCTTTTGCTAAATTCCTGCGGCAGCAGGGTGCCGGTCAATGAAATCATGCAGCATGCTCTAGCAATGCTAGTGGAGCCTTACCGCGGCCTCTTTGTCAACTACGCAACGCAGATGGATGCATACCGTTTTATAGTGCTGGATGCCTATCTACCCGGCCCTGCACCTATCTTGACGGACGTTCTGCTCCCAGCGGAAGCCTTGGCCAGATCAATTTTGTTGGAGTGAAGTTGCCCGATTTGGACAGCTGCCCGACAGGTCGTCGCTCTGTTGGACTGGCCGCCGGAACTCCACCGGGGCGTGGTGACTGTCTGGTGCTGGGCGCATACTCGCACGGTCCCTTTGCAGGCCTATGCAAAAGGACCAAGCAACATGCTTCGGTGTGCGTGGTGCTGAATAGACTGGTGCAGCAGCCTCAGTGGATCGCACCAGTGGAGCTCCCTGGCTCTGCACCTGGATGTGCGAATGCCACCCCGCCGGGACAGTGGCAATTTTCCTACAGACAGCGTCTTGATTGGACTGACCCACCATGTCAATGGTGGGCTCTGGGTCGAGGATGGCGATGCCAGGCGAGCTGCAGGGGATGTCAGAGCTGCTGGATGTGGCACAGTGCACCGCCTTGATCTACAATGCCTCAAATTCCCTGCCCATCGCCTGACACACGCCACCTGTGAGTGGGACCTTACCAGCCGAATCATCCTGTCTACCTTCACCGTGGGACAGGTGCATCGACTGAGTCCGGAGCACCGTGACCTGCTGCACGATCTAGGGTTTCTTCTTCCTGACCTTCCTCCGGTTCTCCCTGGGGGTTAGGAGGGCGGTTAGATTTGAAGAAACCCGTAAAGTGCAATACACTGTGCTGTACAGATGCTTGTCTGGGCACTGTGAGCCGTCCATAGTGGATGCGCCGCACAGCCCAAACCGACCTGCGAGCCACTGGCAAGCGAGTGTGGTTGTTGCATAGTGGAGTTTGCCTGCTAGGGAGCGCCTGTCCCGATGTTGTCTGTTGCTGACACAGGTACTCCCATGGCGACCTCTACCCTTCGACACGGGACCAGCTGCAGCACTGAAGGCTGCGCGAGGGCCATGCCTTTGCTCCCGCTGAATGCGAGGCCACGGCACGGAAAGTGTTGTGCGCAGTGTGGGAGTGGACATCACTCACGTCAATGTGATCGCCTCCAACGTATGAATAGCAGGATGGTGGTCAATGTTTGCCGGACGCCAGGCTGCACCCTCCTGGTGCAAGTCGGTCATACCACATGCTGCTCCACCTGCTGGCTAAGTCAAAATGGACTGCATGCGCGTGGCTGCGCAAGACGTCAGGGCCTCTTGGCAGCACAGCATGCAGGGAGCGGCCAACGTGGTATCTCACCGCTGCCTTCCTCCTCCGCCATGTGGGGCCAGGCGAGGGGAGGACTGGCAGCACAATACGGCAATGACGTCCGACCGGTGCCACCGACGGATCTGACCTCACCTTTGCCTACATCAGTGCATGTGGCTACCAGTGGAACTCAGGACGTTGCTGGAGTGATCGATATTTCTTCGGGAGATGAGCAGACCCCTGCTTCCACCTCCGGTCACCAGCAGTATAATGCTCCGATCAATTCTGCAACGACTGTAGGGGCCGGATTGGATGCTGGTGAGGAGCTGGCGGAGACAGCAGCTGGGCAGCTTGGCAGGCCTAACGCTGCATGCTCGCCGGACCTCCATGCAATGGATTGAGCCTACTGGTGAAAGGCACAATCTTGGGGCATCCGCCTTTGCCGCAATGGCCTGCTGTGAAGGATACAGTCGGAATGCCGAATGCTGGGTGCAGTCTCTCTCGAGCATCAGTGCTGGACTATGAAACTGGACATGTTCGCTACAGTTGAAGCTCTGTTAGTTATGATTCGCCATAGAAGGATCCTCAATAGCAGGATGCAGCCACTGAGCTGCCGGGCTATGCCTGCCTTTCGTCAATCATCGGAGCGACGGTGAGACGTGTGCAATGCAATACTACTACTACTACTACTACTACTACTACTACTACTACTACTACTACTATTACTACTACTACCTCTAGCGCTACTACTACGACGACTACTACTACCATTATTTTCGCCGCGAGCACTATCGCTGCAAGTTGCCATGCAGTTACCCCTGCCATTGGCTCTGTGAAATTACTGCTGCCATTGCTCGTACTCTTGCTACCACCGCTACTATCAGTATTGGTGTTATTACTACTACGACCACTACCGCGACTGCTACTGCTACTGCTAACATTGCTTGTACTGCCAAAACCATTCCTATTGCTGATACTGCTACTTCTACTACAACTGCTACTGCTACTGCTGCTGCTACCCGTACTGCCCCTGCTCCTTCTGCTGCTGCTGTGGTGCTGCTGCTCGGAGTATTGTTACGTCCACCACTACGAGCAGTAATGTTAGTCATGCTACTGCTGGCACCGCGACGACGGCGACGAGCAGGTGCTCTTTATGTACTTCACGATTTGCCGCTTCTTGAACTGATTCTCCATGCTCTCGCCAGTAGTTGCAGAAGCTGGTGCGAACTGTCGATGTAAGGTTTTGCACAATTATTACATTCCCTTGTAGACGTCTTCTTTGAGTATCACGGCCAAGGCAAACCACTTTGATCGGCCAGCCATAGCAATATTCTATCACATTGTCCAGTGTTCTTGATTTGTTGGATATTACTTGAACACCTGTGCGGTAATAGTATTCATGCCGGCGCAATATCTCAGCGTGTTTGCAAGGAAAGGAGACAGTTGAGTCCACCTACGGGGACATTGTGCTGTGGGACGTGTCTGCCGTGACAGACATGAGCCGCCTCTTCGAGAGTCTCGACAACTTCAACGAGAACATCGTTTCTTGGAACGTTTCGGCCGTGACAGACATGAAGCATATGTTCCACATGGCTAGTTCTTTCAACCAGACCCTCGGCTCCTGGGATACATCCTCCGTGACTGACATGAGCTACATGTTCAACGGGGCAGGTGCTTTCAATCAACCAATCGGCTCTTGGGATACGTCCTCAGTGACTGACATGAGCTACATGTTTGAGAATGCTGACAGTTTTAATCAGCCCATTGGCTCGTGGAACACATCCTCTGTGACCAGCATGCGTGGAATGTTCTGCAGAAACAAACTCTTCAATCAGCCCATCGGCACTTGGGACACGTCTTCAGTGGCTGACATGAGCGGCATGTTTGAGAGGGCGGTGACGTTCAACCAGCCCCTCGGCTCGTGGGATACGTCCTCGGTGAAGAGCATGAGCTATATGTTCCACAAATCAAGCTTGTTTAATCAACCCATCGGTTCCTGGGATACGGCCTCGGTGACTGACATGAGCCACATGTTCGATGAGTTGGGTTCTCCTTTCAATCAGCCACTTGGCTCTTGGGATACCTCCTCTGTGACCAGCATGCGCTGCATGTTTCGTGACGTTTATGCTTTCAACCAACCCATCGGCTTGTGGAACACCTCTTCTGTGACCGACATGGGCTCGATGTTCATGGGTGCTAGAGCTTTCAATCAGCCCATTGGCTCGTGGAAAACATCTGCTGTGACGGACATGAGCGAGATGTTCAGTGGCGCAAATGCTTTCAATGAGTACATCGACTCGTGGGATACTTCTTCCGTGACTACCATGCGCCGGATGTTTCAGAAATGTTATGCTTTCAACAGACCCATCGGCTCATTCAACACTTCTTCTGTGACCGACATGCGCCAGATGCTAATGGATGCTGCAGTGTTCAATCAGCCCATTGGCTCGTGGAAAACATCTGCCGTGACCCGCATGATGGAGATGTTCAGGGGCGCAAATGCTTTCAATCAAGTCATCGAATCATGGGATACCTCTTCTGTGACCGACATGGGCTCGATGTTCATGGGTGCTAGAGCTTTCAATCAGCCCATTGGCTCGTGGAAAACATCTGCTGTGACGGACATGAGCGAGATGTTCAGTGGCGCAAATGCTTTCAATGAGTACATCGACTCGTGGGATACTTCTTCCGTGACTACCATGCGCCGGATGTTTCAGAAATGTTATGCTTTCAACAGACCCATCGGCTCATTCAACACTTCTTCTGTGACCGACATGCGCCAGATGCTAATGGATGCTGCAGTGTTCAATCAGCCCATTGGCTCGTGGAAAACATCTGCCGTGACCCGCATGATGGAGATGTTCAGCGGCGCAAATGCTTTCAATCAAGTCATCGAATCATGGGATACCTCTTCCGTGACGGACATGCGCCGGATGTTTCAGGAATGTTATGCTTTCAATAGACCCATCGGCTCATGGAACACTTCTTCTGTGACCAGCATGAGAGGGATGTTCGTGCGCGCCACAGCTTTCAACCAACCCATCGGCTTGTGGAACACCTCTTCTGTGACCGACATGAACAAGATGTTCAGGAGCGCTGCAGCCTTCAATCAGCCCATTGGCTCGTGGAAAACATTTGCCGTGACCGACATGAGACAGATGTTCAGGGGCGCAGCTGCTTTCAATCAGCCCATCGACTCGTGGGACACCTCCTCCGTGAGCGACATGCGCTTCATGTTCCAGGGGGCAATCTTGTTCAATCAACCCATCGGCTCTTGGGACACGTCTGCAGTGACTAGCATGCTCGAGATGTTCGGTGAGGGTTATGCTCACAATGACAACATCGGCGCGTACTACTTGTACCCTGGGGGACACATCTTCTGTGACGGACATGAGCCACATGTTTTGGGGTGCTGAAGCTTTCAATCAGCCCGTGGGCTCGTGGGACACGTCATCTGTTCAACGGATGGAAAGGATGTTCAGCAATGCGCATGTGTTTGACCAACCCATTGGATCTTGGGATACCTCGTCTGTGACCAGGATGGAGTACATGTTCGAGACCGCAGTGGCTTTCAATCAGCCTATCGGCTCCTGGGACACGTCATCTGTTCGACGGATGGACGGGATGTTCAGCAATGCACATGTGTTTAACCAACCCATCGGATCTTGGGATACCTCGTCTGTTACCAGGATGGACTACATGTTCGAGAAAGCAAGGGCTTTCAATCAACCCATTGGCTCTTGGGACACCTCTTCTGTGACCAGCTTCAAGAGCTTTTTTTTTTGGTGCCGTTACTTTCAATGAGCCCATCGATTCGTGGGATACTTCCTCTGCCACAGACGTAAGCTACATGTTCGCTGAGGCAGTCGTTTTCAATCGGCCCATCGTTTCATGGGACACTTCAGCCGTGATCGACATGAGCGGCATGTTCGCCGAAGCTTTCGCTTTCAACCAACCGGTCGGCTCATGGGATACCTCCTCTGTGAAGACGATGGACAGAATGTTCTATGGGGCGGATGCTTTCAACCAGCCACTTCAGTCCTGGAATACAGTGGCGATGGCCACAGCGGAGGACATGTTTTCACCCACAAGCTTTTTGAAGCAGCCACCATGCCCATCAGGCGAAGCTCCGTCCACGAACGGGCTTGTTTGTGAGATTTGCCCACCTGACCACTTCTCATGGACTCATGGGACTGCTTGCCAAGCATGCCGTACCCACGGCTTATGCCACTGCCCGGATACCAGCGATCTCAATTTGCCAGAAGATCGCGGATACTGCAGAGATTGTCCCGACGACTGCGAGGGGTGCACATCCATCTGCATGGCCGAGTTCCGCAGCAAGCCTCTAGGCCAATGTTGAGCCTGAACTTTCTGGTCCTTACTGGTAGTGGGAATGGGGGAATGGGTTGTTGGGACTAATTATTATTCCTGAGAACCAGGGAGTCTAGGCCAATGGTGGGCCTGTAGGGGAGATCTGTCGCGCATCATAGTCGGCTGCCACTCTGTCAGGAGCGGTCTAGTGGTCAGAAAGGAATTTTTGCCAGCAATATCGTACAGTGTGTGTATATGCATATATACATATTATAATACCTGTACATGTATATGTATGTATCATAGTATATGCAGGCGTATAAACGGATGTATTAGTTATACTTTTCTGTGCTACAAGAGCTTGTCAGCCTAGGTCCGAGCTTAGGGAAGCAGTGGTCGACTGGGAGGCGAATGCCAATCGTGGCTTGGCCAGAGCTTTTTGAAGAGCCACGGTTTAGGGTTTAGGATTCAGGGTTTAGGGTTTAGGGCTTTTTCGTGTGAGTTCTCGTAGGGCAGCGGTCAGTGCTATGCGATTTGAGGCACATGTATCTTTCTTACTTAGCCTGGTCGCAGATGCCATCACTGCAACAAGTGAGGTCATATATGCTCTTGGTTATAGGGTAGGGTTTAGTGGCCTTTGTTGAGTCCATGCAAATACACCTACAAGGAAGGGCGATAATGCGGTCCACTTACGGAGACATTGCCCGATGGGATGTTTCTGCGGTGACAGACATGAGCCACCTGTTCCATTCTCTCAACTACTTCAACGAAGACATTAGCGCATGGACAGTTTCCGGCGCGAGGAACATGGAATCCATGTTCCTACATGCAAGCTCCTTCAACCAGCCCCTCGACGCTTGGGATACGTCATCAGTGACCAACATGGCAGGCATGTTCAGTTTTGCAACTGCTTTCAATCAGCGCATTAGCTCCTGGAATACTTCCCTGGTAACTGACATGAGCAGCATGTTCAACGAAGCCTACGCTTTCAATCAGCCTGTTGGTGCGTGGGATGTGTCCTCGGTGACTCGGATGCACTAAATGTTCTACCAGGCGACGTCTTTCAACCAGCCGCTCGGCTCGTGGGATACCTCCTCCGTGACGGACATGGATTACATGTTTGCGAAAGCAGCAGCTTTCAATGAACCCATCGGCTCCTGGAATACCGCCATGGTGGCCACCATGACGTACATGTTTCATGCTGCTGCAGCGTTCGATCAGCCCATCGGCTCTTGGGATACGTCCTCAGTAACCAGCATGAGAGGCATGTTCCAGAAAGCAGTGTCTTTCAATCAGCCGATCGCATCCTGGAATACTTCCTCTGTGGCTAGTATGGCAGTCATGTTCAATGAGGCGGTCGTGTTCAATCAGGCCATCGGCTCGTGGAATGTGCCACCTTACCCGGAGAGGATTGCGATGTTGGAAGGTGCCACCGCCTTTGACTCGCCCCCCTGTGACGCAGGAGCCATCCCAAGCCCAAACCGGATCGCTTGCGAGCGCTGCCCCCCGGGCTACTTCGCCGTGACGGCCTCCGAAAACTGTACTCGCTGCCCCTTTGGCTCCATTCCTGCACCAGACCATGGCACATGCGATGAGTGTCCACCCGGTAGGTTTTCAGGAGTCCTGGATTGCGATGACACTGCCTGCCAGTACGAGTGTTTCCTCGCTTTCCAAAACAAGCGCTTCGGCTGCATGCGACATACCCAGTTCACAGTTGGGAAGCGCTTCACGCAGATTTCTCAGTTTTTTTCTCTGGCAGGTCTGAGCTTCGCGCAGCCATGTTGATTTGGGAAGCTGGCATTGATCGAATCCTGGCGCACCTAATAACGAGGATTGTAGAGACGGGCTTCATGGCCTCATACCAGTCAAGCCACTCCTTGCTGCAAGTAAGGTACGAGTCAGCAACGGCTGCGGTCCATCTATGGGGAAGTGAAAGACTGGGACGTGTCAGCCCTGTCCGACATGAGCGGATTGTTCGAAGACCTTAGCAATTTCAACGAGGACATCAGCACATGGAATGTGGCCGGTGTGATGGACATGAGCCATATGTTCAAGGGTGCACGGTCTTTCGATCAGCCAATTGGCAACTGGCAGACATCATCAGCGACTACAATGGCGCACATGTTTGACGGTGCGGCTGCCTTCAATCACGAGATTGTCTTGTGGGATGTTTCTAATGTGCAGACCATGAACCACATGTTCCATGGAGCTGTTGCATTTAATCAGTCACTTGAAGCCTGGGACACGTCCCGCGTTGCAGACATGACGGCGCTGTTCTCAGATGCCGAATCCTTCAACCAGCCACTTGCCGGCTGGAACACATCCTCCGTGAGAAGCATGAGCCAGATGTTCCGGGGTGCTTCTGGCTTCAACAGGCCAGTTGGCTCTTGGATTACAGGTGCGGTGATCCGAATGGATGGCATGTTTCAGAACGCAGGCATCTTCAATCAACCGCTCAGCACATGGGATGTGTCTGGGGTGTCCGACGTGAGCAGCATGTTCCAAAATGCAGCAAGCTTCAACCACCCTGTGGGAGGGTGGGATACGGCTCTCGTGACCAACATGCGCAGCATGTTCTCCGGAGCGACTGTGTTCGATCAGCCCATCGGCATGTGGGACACCTCGTCCGTCAAAGACATGTCTTTCATGTTCTCAGAAGCCACCTCCTTTAATCAGCTCGTCGAAAGCTGGAGCACTGTTTCTGTGACGAGCATGACCGGCATGTTCTTTGGGGCGTCAGTGTTCAACGGCTCCCTTCAAACCTGGGATACCTCGTTTGTGAGGAGCATGGCCCACATGTTTCAGGAGGCATCGGCATTCAATCAGCCCATCGGCTCGTGGCAAACATCTTCTGTAGCCGACATGAGCCACATGTTTGATGGGGCGGCCGCTTTCAACCAACCTATCGGCACCTGGAACGTTTCAGCAGTCCTTGACACGACGCTCATGTTCTCTGACGCAGAGTCCTTCAACCAGCCCCTGGGATCATGGCTTTTGCCTGTGCCGGCGAGCCACGACATGTTTCGCGGCGCCGATGCTTTCAAGAGGCCGCCTTGCCCTGGGCGCTTTTCGCCTGCTATCAACGGATTAGGCTGTGAGCCCTGTCCTGTGGGGCAGTTCGCTTCTGCTGGAGACCGGTGTGAGACCTGCCAGCAAGGCTTCGTGCCAACCAGCGACGGTGAGGGCTGCCAGAGATGCCCGGATGGGAGCATCTCCGTGTCTGGTGCCTGTGAGGAGTGTGTTTTCCCATCCTTCATTGTGAACGATGCTTGCGAATTGTGGCCCCTGCCCGTGGTGTTGGTGTCCACAGCACTGGTGCTACTTGTGCTGTGGATCCTCATTTCCCGCTACAGGGCCCGGAAAGAAGCAAAGATCAGACGTGCTTTAGAGCCTTGACCAGTTCCAAGTGCCCTCACACTAAGTTACCCCAACCTTAAAGGCTCAACATTGTGAAGTGCATACAAGTTTCTGATTTTCGTGGCGTTACTGGCTGATGCGTAGCCGGGGTAGCCTCGCCCAGGATGTAGCCTACCGCAACCTCTGGGACGAACATCCTGAGATCGAGAAACACGCGGCCACCCTCCAGAGCCTTGGGATGAAACGCATGCATGTACAGCAGAAGTTGGCTGAGATGCAGGCGCAGCAGAGCTTGATCGCAGGGGTTGGGCTGCACTATCTTCTCTCAGAGGACTTCGTCAAGGTGGCAAGAGAGCGCACGGGCAAGGAGGACCCCACCTTCAATCACATGAAGGATGCATTCTGGATGTGCGATGAGCCGCTGGGCCACGACATCCGCTGCCCTAGGGATGGCAGGATGGGCTGTGCTTTGGTTGACTGGATCCCCAGAGCTGGACGACAGGAGCAATCCCATTTTATGTCATGGACATGGCGCTACAGCTTGTCCGAGGTGCAAAGTGCGCTACGGATCTTTCAAGGGAGTGGTGAGGCAAGCAAGGTCTTCTTCTACATGTGCTTCTTCGTCAATAATCAATTCAGGATCATATTGGAGTCTACCGGGATGGATGCCGAGGATTTGGAAGCTGTCTTTGAGAGCAACCTGCGGCGCATTGGCCGTGTGGTGGCCATCCTTGACACATGGGACAACCCCATGTATTTGACGAGGATTTGGACTGTCTACGAGCAGTTCATGGCCACCAAGTTGGAAGTCCCTGTAACTTTCGTCATGCCCGACACAGCCATGCATTCCGCTCAAGAACAGATGTTGAAAGGTGAAGTGGGCATGAGACGCATCACGGAGGCTCTCTGCAATGCAGATTCTGAGAATGCAGAAGCGTGGATGAAAGAGGATGAAGTTAAAGTCAAAGGACTGGATGGAAAAAGGGTGTAGAGGTTTTGTGTTCTCATGTTCTGTGTCTCGCTAGGGATGTGTTCACATGACCGGGGCGGGGTGCGGTGGGGCAGTTCTAGAGAGGACTCATTCGCAACAGCGTCGGCTTCGATCACGTGAACACGCATGTGACGCAAGTGATGATCCAATGGATCTTGAGGATAATGCAAAGACAGTTCGAGGACCAAATCGGGCGAGTGCGCGGCCGAGTGCGGTCCCGATTGTTCAGACAAAAGAGCCGGAACACGATGGCTTCGATCGTTCAGCTTTGACCTGCTTCGTAGTAGTACTAGCAGTAGCAGTAGTGGCAGTAGCATAGTGGTAGTCGTGGTAGTTGTGTAGTGGAAGCGATAGCAACCCAGACCAACCTAATCATTATACCCCATAGTCGTCTACTACAATTGCTACTACGACTACTACGACTGGTACGACTACTTCGACGACTGCTGCGACTAGTCGCTCTACTTCTACTTGTTCTGCCACATCTGGAGATGTGGGGAGAGCCTTCCTGGGTGCCGGCGTGCCTGTACAGCGATCTTGTCTCCCTGGTTCGTAGAAAGGAATGGGGGAATGCATCCCTATGATAGTCCCTTCTAGTAGTCCGCATAAAACCCATTCCCCACTTGTATCCCTGGTTCGTAATCAGGAATGGGAAATGGATTCCTATGATGGTCCCTGATAATGGAACACATATAGCCCATTGCCCACTTCCCCGCTAAGAACCAGGGAGTTGTTTTCAAGGGTGCTTTTATTGCTTTTTCCAGCGTACCGGGTTCGAATTGGATTCGTATGCTCATGTAGAGGAAACGACGACTGTTGCTTCTATCACTTTTATTGCTACTGCCATTGTCTCCAACTTTGCCAACATACTGTTAGTATTTCTAGCACTGTAGTTATTGCTACCACTATTACTATTATGGTTAAATTCATTACTACTGTTATTACTACCATTTAACTACTGCTACGATACAGAGGTCAGACTGCACTGCGACTACTTCTGTCACTAATATGTTTAGTGCTACTGTATACTGTTACGAGTGGTACGACTGCGGCCAGTACTATCACTGCTGCTACTCTGCTACTATTATTGCAATTATTTCTAGTACGGTTACCTACTATCGCAAGACATCATCATACTAGTACGACGACGACTACGACGACGACTACTACTACTGCTGTTGCTGTTGCCATTAGTAGTACTGCTATTGTTGTTATTCGTATGCGTACTGTTCCTAACATTTTCTTACCTATACTAGTACTGCAGCTACAACAACAACTATGACCAGTGGTAGTGGTAGTAGTACTGGTAGTAGTAGTAGTAGTAGTAGTAGTAGTAGTAGTAGTAGTAGTAGTAGTACTAGTAGTAGTCGTAGTAGTCGTAGTAGTTGTAGTAGTTGTAGCAGTGGTAGGTAGTAGTGGTAGTAGGAGTAGTAGTAGTCTTGGTGGTAGTAGCAGGTAGGAGGTCTTGAGTCGTAGGTAACAGGTAGCAGGTAGTTCGTGGTAGTAGTAGAAGTAAATGTAGTAGTAGTAGTAGTAGTACTACTACTACGACTACTACTAGCCGCTACTAGCCACTACCACTACAACAGTTGTTCTAGCCACTGCTACTGCTGCGGCTCTTACTCTAACACTGCTGTGACTAAGACTATTGTTCATACTCTCATCACTGGTTCTTTTTCTACAACTAGTACTGCTACTGCTACTACTCCTGACGACGACGACGATTACTCCTACCGCTACTGCTGCTGCTGCTGCTGTTCTACTATTATAACTACAACAACAACAACAATTACTACTCCTACTACGACAACGACGACTACTATTATTAGAATTACTACTACTACTACTACTACTACTACTACTACTACTACTACTATTACTACTACTACTACTACTACTACTACTACTACTACTACTACTACTACTACTACCACTACCGCCTCTCCTACTACTATCGCAGTAGCACCAGCAGTAGATGCAATGGTACTGGTCTGTCATTTCTTCTCATGTCGCCTGTCTGAGCCGGGGGGCGGTGCATCCGCACCCCGCGGTGCCGGGGCTCTCTTTCCTTTGCCTGTCAGTGCCGGGGGTCGGCTTAGCCGCATCCCGTGCCATTGCTCTCTGCTCTCGGGTGGGGTTTTAAGTCCCTACTGTTGATGATAGAAATCCTGCATTACCTTAAGGACCTTGGACTATGGGAATTGTAGTATATTCCTTATTATGGGCAATGCAGGATTTATATCATCAACCGTATGCCTCCAGGGACACGGTTTTCCCACTCTCCTCTGTAGATTGGCATTCAATGCCAGATCCAGCTCCCTGCAGATCCTCCAGGAGGATCTGCAGCTACAATGCGCACCATCGATTGAAAATTGTTGCATAGGCCATGCCCGCGTCGCGGATTGGGAAGTAGCATGATGTCACGCATAGTCCTAATTTTTTCACATGTGAGGTACAAACTTGGAGTGCCCTCATCAAAAGAGCGAGCAAGACGAGATAAAGTTGCGGAATGCTGCCAAATGCTCAGCCAGTCGCGAGGCCTGCTCATGTGTAACAGTGTTCACTACACGGAGTGACACATTACCTTCTCTGTCAAGTCCAGCTCTCTGCCTTGGGCCGCCATGGAGCGAAACCCCTGTGCCACAGAGCGACGGCTCGACCGTGTGGGTTCTTTCAGTGACATTAAGCGAGCAGGTCGTTTCTGCGGCATCTCAGCTCTTCAAGTTCTTGCTTCACAAGCATGGTTGCTTAGTATTCTCTGGGGATTTCAACTGGCCATGAATGCAGAATGCAGAATGATTCTACTCAATCGGCTGCATGTGTTCATAAGCATTACTTGTGTACTTGGTTCTTCGTGTTTTTGAGGATGCACCCCGCTGGAGGCCATGATCATCGCCAGTGGCTTGAGTGGTGCAGTCGGTGCTGCTGCTAATGTGCATAAACTCGCTGATCGAAGCGACGACTCAGAAGGCAGTGCGTCGAAAAGCATAAAATCCACCAAGCATACAAGGTTCATAGCAGTCCTACAATACACTGCAAGCAACAAGCATCGTACTCGCAGCCGTTGTCAGAAGCATCTCGTGTGTAGCATAATTAGGTGCAGTAGAAGTAAGGAGTACCAGCAGAAGTGCAATCGGAAATGGAGGTAGAAGTGGAAGTGGAGGCAGAAACAGCAGCAGCAACAGTGGAAGCTGCAGCGGACGAAGAAGCAGCAGGAGTAGGGGTAGAAGTAGTGCTAGTTGCAGTAGTTGGCAATGTACACAGTGAACAGCTCATTGTGTCCGCCCAGTTGCTAGGGGAGCGGATGGATTCGTTTGCAAACTGTCAACAGTAGGGCTTGTGAGTTTAGGGGTTAAGGGAGCGCCTCGACCACTTTCGGCGGGGCCGCGCTCACCCGCAGATAGTGACGATCCATCACCCCCCATGGCGGTGAAACGTGCCATTGTGCTGGCCTCTATCCTTTGTTGTCTGAAACTCCCAGAAGGATTGAAAACACCTGTCTAGACTATCGAGTAGTATTCACAACCAGAACCCTCTTGCTACTCCGAAATATATGTGTATGGCCCCTAAAAGTGGGTATTTAGCATATAGTAAAAATGAGCAAAGAATAGAACATGATCTTTGTTCTGCAGAATTACAGGCGACCACGTACCTCGATGAACGATTTCGCTGTTCCCGAGTCTAGGGCCAGGGTTTGAGAGTCATCCAAATCTAGCTATGCACCATTTACATGGTGCCGTCTTTGGTGTTCGCATCTTAACATCAGCTGGTTCTTGTTTTCCCGACATGACCGAATCGATTTGATTCAGTTTAATTTCAAAGAAGAGGATCGACCATGTAATGATAACGCCACATCCATAATTGTGGACCAAACTGTTGCTGGCACGCCTTCATAGATTGCTTGCAAGCAGGGCCTCTGAAGTGCTGCTCCGGGGGATTGGGGGGAGGGTGGCGTTGCCACCAAACTTGGAAGTGTTTACTGCTTGCCGGGGTGTGATTCAACAGCTCATCTTCTTGCAGCTCGCACCGTAGGACTGCGTGTCCAAGC